ATCAATGGCCACGGTTTCCGAGGCAGCCTCGGCTCAATCACTACTGTTGTTCCTATTCGCTATCTACCCAGGAGGCCTGGTATGGTATCGCGCGAGGCTGACTTAAGGCCTGCCGCTGCCCCCACAGCCACCGGCGTGGCCCATCATCGGACCCCTACCGGACTTGATCAGAGAGAACAAGACGAGGAGATGGCATCCTGAGGCTCGACGAGTGGACGCGGGAATATGGGCCCATATTCGGGGTTCGAACCGGGTATATTGTCGATTACTTTGTCAACTCTGATGTTATGGTCAAGGTGGGTTTGTGGCATAGGCAAGGCGTTACCGTTCATAGTGTCGCAGCTACTGGGCGTACCGACCTGCCTGTTTTCGTAGAAGCTCTTTGACAGGAAGTCTGCGCAAACGACTGATAGACCTGTCTGGGTCATGTCGAGCACTTTTATGAACAATGGCTACAACACGTTGATTCTCGAAGCGAGCCATCCGAGGTGGAAGATAACTCAACCACCCTGCTTCCCACGCAACCCCGCATACCACGCAGCCCCAAACCCCCATCAATATCACCATACCCATCAACAACATCCATTATTCCTCATCCCTACCACCTACCCAGATGCAACTTTCTGCTTCACTAGATAATTCAGATCCACTGGATTCACTTGTGCTACTCTCTGCTTCGCCAGCAGCAATTTGCGCCCGTCGGATATCCTCGATATTAGCGAACGTCGTGTTAGGGTCCGTCTGGACCCTTTTTCTCCTGCCTTGTTGCTGACTATCCGTCTGGGCCTGGAATGCCTGGGCCTGACGCTCTAGGACTGTCAGTCTATAGGCCTGTTGGTCCCAGCCTTTTTGGACCTTTCTAAATAGGTGGCGTTGGGTGTAGATTTCTCGGGTATCTTGCGTAAGCTGGTTGAATAGGTGCAGCTGACGCTGAAGATCAGCAGACTTACGCGGGGTTGACCATGGGACTATAGATACAGCTCCATCCCACTGCTGACTTCCTGACTGCCCAGCTGTCTGGCCGTCTAGCTGTCTGGCTGGCTGGCTGGCTGATGCCTTAGACACGAAAGGGCTAGATAGAGGTTGCGCTACATCAACTGGCCATAACCCAGTGTGTTTCCAGCCGCTTTTAATAACCTGGATAGTCAAGGCGTCTAGACGTGCCCTTCTATAACAGTCTATAAAGTTCCTCTTGCCTGTTACAGTTGAATCGCTTTGTATATCTAGGTACCCTAGATACTTCCTATAGGCTGCCTTAAGAGGTCGGAATACTGACTGATCTAGAGGCTGGAGGACGTGTGATGTGTGCGGCGGCAGAAACAGGAGGTGTATGTGGTTCCGGAAGCATCGCCACAGAAAGTCTGTTGTTGTATGGCTATGATGGGCGTCTAGAACTAGTAGTCTAGTATCTGAAGGGTCCTCTGGGACAGTCTGAGGGATAAAGACCTTTTCTAGCCATTCTAGGGCATTCTGATCAGTTGTCCAGCCGTTCTCTGTTGCTGTGAATTTCCAGCTAGCATAGGGTTGAAGATCTAGAGGAAACCACTGTTGCTGGACTGACTTGCCCTTATACATAACAAGAGGCGGAAGTGCGCGTCCTCTGGCAGAGACGCACTCGATCAGAGATACCCATGCCCGCGATCCAGGCTGTTTTTTCTGGATATACTTGGTCTCTGACGATCCTAGTACTAGCCCATTGCTTCCTTTGCCCTCGAGGATACCAGTCTCATCCATGTTCCATCTATTAGCTGGCTTGATGGGCAGGATTGCTGGCAGATCAAGGCGATGAAACCATTCCTGGATAATGTCAGCAGTTGCCCCATTAATTCGCCTAGCGTCAATTGCCCTGCATCGCTGGGTTCTGATAGATGGGTTTCTGCGAAGAAATCGCTGCATCCACTTCCTCCCAAGTGGTCGCTGCCCATCGCCCAGCATGCGCTCAGCCAGCCCTTTGACTTGCTGATGGCAAAACGCAGAGCCTAGGGCAGCCTGCTTAGATATCCACTCAGCAAGTAGACCTTCCTGGTTCTGAGATAACCGCTGCAGTCTACCAAAGGCAGTATTTCTAGACTGGGTACCATGGAGACGTTGTCGTACAGTCGCCTCTGGGATGCCCCATTTGCGACCTGCCCCGCGGATACTAAGCCCGTCAGCAATATCCCAAAGTGCCCGCTGCAGCTCATGTTCACTATACTGCTTCATCTTATAGTAAAAAAGATATCCTCAAAAAATGGCGTTGTTTGGGGTAGAATAGAAGATGTTGTGATAGTTAGAAAAGAGGAGTAGGTTTTATGGTGACGCGTTGTTGGGCTGCGTGGTATGCGGGGTTGCGTGGGAAGCAGGGTGGTTGAGTTAACGCAATTTACACGCTGATGGTACTAGCTATGACACACAGCCTAAGTCGTGGGAGAACAGGAGAAGCTGACTTGATGTCCGGCGCAGAAGCAACGGACGGCGATTCTAAAGCTGCTCACTAGCGTTCAGCAAGCGGACAAGACTGTCCCGTAAGCCCCCCTGTTTTTGTAGCATGTAGCCAACTTCTGCACAGTCCCAAATTCGCCCTCACACTTCCTGGCTTTGTTTGCAGCTGTCCTTCTTCCAGTGCTGGTGTCACACAGATATACCGCTTTGGACGCTATTTGTACAGTCTTACCGGCGTCACAGGCTGCTAGAATACGAGACACCACGGTTTCTCAGCGACAGTGTCCATGAACAGTCGGGTGGTTTGTTTGGAAGACGGCTGTTGAGGTCCATTGAGAGACATGCCTATAGCTCGTTTAGGACGGCAAGTATAGGGATGGATGTGAGCAACCTGGTTCAGCATGACAAGATGGGTAATCGAGCTTCACGATAGATTCCCGATGCCGTCGACAGGGTGATTGACTTCATCAAAGTGAGTTATGTCCCTATACGGGCTGCTGTGCCATAGACAAACAGAAACGTGTGGAAACCGAAGCTCAAATCATCTGTGAGATGCCACCATCGACCCCAGCTAGTCGAAACAAATTCGGTAGAGAAAGGCTGATACTTGCGACAGACACATTTCCTGGATCTAACATCATCGTTTTGTTTCCTTCACTGGGAATGTTGCCCCTGTTCCTCAAGCCATGGGAGAGAATAAGACGGGCAAGCTATCGGAGGGATCTCGCGTGGGCAAATGAAGCGACTGTAGGTGGCTCGACTGCCTTTCCGCGAGGACACGCTTGGCTATGAGCTCTCGCATTAACAACGGCCAGACCGCCAAGGAAAGAATTGGAAAGGGGGACGTTGCTTTGAAGCAAATGTTCTTGGGCGCGGCTTTGAGCCACAAGGACATGAGTGGGCTATCTTGCGGAGAAGAGCTGGCGATACTGAGCTTTGCGTTGATTTTGACGGCCGCAGATGCGGTAGGCGCGCGTGCATAAAATGTTGTTGTCGTTGCACCATAGGATCTTGACACATGCTTGATGGGACAGAAGGGCTGACGGAGGCAATGCCATCAGCCGCGGACCGCTGCGGCACGAGGACCCAGACCGATTCTGGCCAGAACGGTTAAGGACGACAAAACGTCGGTACGGGGGACTCTTGTGCTCTATGGTCCAATGATCTGTCTTGGAGCTAACGGATTGTAGACGATGGAGAGCATCAACTCACAAGACCTGACCAAGAGGAATCATTTTGTCTTTGGATCTAGTCGTCGCGTTTTTACATACCATTTCATGCGTATATCGCCTGGAGATTGGAATTGCCGTGAAGAAAGAAAAAAATGAAAATCCCTTCAAAGCTGACAAAAGAACCAGACAGGCCCTGGATACCACGTTGCCGAGCGCTCGGCCGTGATCACGATGATGCGCATCTTTCAGGCCTTCAAGATCGAGCCCATACTAGGGACCAAGATGAATGCGAGCATCGATTTGGTTTAAATTACAGTGAAGAATTGTGCTTGGTAATTTGGGTCATAGGCGTCCGTCATGTTCCCTCCAAGAAGGAGAAGGACAAGGTTCGCAAAGAAATAATATTGAATCTAATTCGGCCAAAGTCACTTGATATAGGATGGAAGCTCCCCGCCTCTCCTAATCTTCGATGCACCGTACTCCATACCGCTGCTGCACGGCTTCGATCTTCACGCCGCCATGCATTCGAACGCTGAAGACCTTGCAGCCATCCACGTCGAGAGATTCATGGCACATTCGTGGTGTTGCTTCGAATTACCACAATACATTTTTGCATTACTTTGAACCCATATCAGCAAATCATGCCGAAAAGAAGGGCGGCCAATGGCAGGTCTAAATTTGACCTGACAGTCAGATGCCGTGAGCCAAGTAGTCAAGCAATCCGGACATAGGATTCCGGATTTAGCTTGTCACCATATGTTCAAGGAGATAAATGGGCTGACTTGTGGAGAAGAGTAAAGGGAGAATCGCATTGCTGACCCGACGGACTTGAGAACGCCAACAGCCCCAAACCCTGACCGATATTGGTCATTCCGTCAATCTCACCATGTAGGCTACGAAACCAACCAACACAAAACGAACAACAAAGTAGCCTAGTGAACAAACGGCTAGTCGAAGTGCGGAACAAATATGCATGAACCGTATTTATCCAACGGGCTGGGACCAATCGTTCCCTTGGAAACGGAAATCCGGTGCAATGACGACAGGGCAGACCAAAGTCCCTTCGGGATTCGTGCTGCACGCGAAACCCGGGCGTGCAGCCATGCTTGGTCAGCCCTACGAAATGTGTCATTTCAACCCAACGGAAAGGGAACGTTGAGGGTATCAACTGATAGCTGTTGTTTGTACGGGATTGGGACATTAGATCGACGTGAACCGGGTTTTGAGAGCACAAAGTTTGTTATATCTGTGGCGACCCACACAGCTGAATGCTTGTTTGAACTGCTAGCTTGCCAAGGTTCATCTAATCATCATCCACTAGCGACATCCCATCCAGCGCCGTAACACCAAATTTGTAACAGGGACAGATCTACTCCACGTGACTCCAAGGAGCTGCCCTTACCCAGCATGACGGCCTCTAGTCAAGTTCCAAAAACGCCACCATCACCGGCGGCTGCGAACGACCACAAACTCCCCGAGAAACCGTTATCGCCCTCGGTTGACTCCGATGCTGAAGTATCAGAGAAACCCACAGATCATGGAGGTCACGAGTCGACTGGAGATGGCGGCGCCTTGATGACGGACGAAGGAGACCGGGAAGAAGAGTACATCACCGGCATCAAGCTCATCCTCGTCCTTGCCGCTTTGACTTTTGTGGTTTTTCTCATGCTCCTTGACATGTCCATCATCACGACGGTAAAGATGCATTTGTGTTATGGCTATCAGAGTGGCAGACGGCTAACAATACGTCTAGGCTGTTCCTGAGATCACAACAGCGTTTAATTCGCTGTCTGACGTGGGCTGGTATGGCGCCGCCTACAACTTATGCGGGTATGTGTTCCCAGTTCACGAAGTCTGGGGGGGTTCTAGAGTGGATATTTCAAGAGCGCCAATTAATCATCCGTCTTTAATAGAGCCGCTCTCCAGCCCTTTGCAGGGAAGCTCTACACCTACCTCCGCTCCAAACAAACGTTCCTCGCCTTTCTCTTCTTGTTCGAATTAGGCTCTCTGATTTGTGCCGTTTCAAAATCGTCAAACATGTTCATCGTCGGGCGCGCCGTCGCGGGCATGGGATCAGCTGGCTTATACAACGGTGCCTTAACAATCATCGCTGCGACAGTGCCGCTGCAGAAGAGACCGCTCATCATCGGGATCTTGATTGGAATTTCAAATCTGGGTCTTGTAATTGGGCCTCTTGTCGGAGGAGCTTTTACGGAGTTTGTGAACTGGAGATGGTGTAAGTAGCTGCGGTTCCTTCCACGGTTGCATCTCTTATTTAGGGACAGCTTGATTTGCTACGAAATTCAGTGACGCTAACAATAACCCAAACCCAGGCTTCTACATTAACCTCCCTATCGGTGGCGTCGTCGCAATCCTACTGTTTTTCATCCACATTCCCTCGAAAATCGCAACTCCCCTCCCTCTCCTCAAAGTGCCCGGCCATCTCGACTTCCCAGGCTTTGTCCTCTTCGCTCCTGCGGCAATAATGTTCCTCCTGGCGCTCCAGTTCGGAGGCAACGAACACCCCTGGAATTCTTCTGTTGTCATCGGTTTATTCGTTGGTGCGGGCGTTACAGCCGCGCTATTTCTGTACTGGGAATACAGGCAGGGAGACGACGAAGCCATGATACCTCTAGGTTTGTTCAAAAGCAGGATTGTTTGGATTAGTTGCGTTGTTGGGGCAATGACTATGAGTATCACAATAGTCTCAAGCTACTATCTACCAATGTTCTTTCAGAGTGTCAAGGGGGCGACACCATTCCAGGGCGGAGTAGACTTTCTGCCGACTATCTTGAGCCAGCTGGTGTTTGCGGTGGTCTCTGGTGCCTTGGGTAAGTTGAGCTGAACAGTGTTCTCTTTTTTCCTGGGGCTTATTGTCTGCTATGCTATTTTATCGATGTTGACGTGTCTGCTAATACACTATAGTTGGAAAGTTGGGGTACTATCTCCCCTGGGTAGTCTTCGGCTCTGCCGTTTCGACCATCGGAACCGGGCTAATTGCGACATGGACACCGTCTACAAACTCTGCAAAATGGATAGGATATCAAGTTCTTCTAGGTGCGGGTCGTGGCGCAAACATGCAGATGGTAAGTTGCTCCCCTTCAGCCTTGTCCACAAGCGGCATAAGCTTATTGCTCCCTGCGTAGCACATTATTGCCGTTCAGGCAAACACTGCCCCATCCCGTCTCCCGGTAGCCATGGCCACCGTGGTTTTTCTGCAAACTTTCGCCAGCGCTATCTTCTTGACAGCAGCCGAAGTCATCTTCAGCGAGGGGCTGGGCAACAACTTGGCAAAGTATGCCCCAAACATAAACGCCAAGACCATTTTGGCTGCTGGTGGGACTGGGTTCAGGACCGTTGTATCGAAGGCAGATCTCCCTGGCGTTCTAATGGCATACTCCAAGAGCATTAATGAGGTGTTCTATCTCATGATCGGCCTAGGCGTTGTCACTTTTGTGCTCGCGTGGGGTATGGGCTGGGTTGACATCCGGAAGAAGAAGGGCGAGAAGAAGGGTGACGTTTAATGCGACGGCAGGTAGGCTCAGAGTGACTGGGTGTAATTTTTAACCCCAGCATTTTGATCGAAATGTATATAAAATTCTCAACTACAAGGAAGGAACGCCCATTTTATTCTTCTGTTCTTTTCTGTTTATTTCTTTGGAATAACTAGATTAAATCGCTTATGCTTTTGACCGGAGCTACTTTAGCGCACGAGAGAATAGTAGCGTACGTTGGAGGAAGCATAATTGAGCATCATTAAGCATTAAACTGTCTCGCACTTTTGGCATCGAAGATATGTTAGTGTTGGTGTTGGCCTATCGTTCATTTTTAGTGAACTTTCAGGCACCGGCCCACTCGGGCCCCGAAGAGCAAAGCAAAAGTACGTTTTCCGGCTGTTTGTCCTTCTTGAACCCGAACACGACGCATATGCAATCTCGCTAGATCAGCCATGTCGGCTTCATAGCCAATGAAAAGACCCGGTTAACAGACTTGGCAAACGTCTCCCAATGACACCTGAATGGGCCGACACGGATGTCGAGTCTCCCGGACGTACCAGAGTGGAGCAGAAGCCTGAATATCGTATTACACCTGAAGAATATAAAGCTCACCGGTGTCTTGTACGTACCTATGCATTTACTGCTCAATCACCAAAACAAACAATCACGATCAAGTCAGACCTCCTGAACCCACTGAACGACCTCGCAATGAACGACGAAGTCATCATGAACATCTCGATTCCCATCCATCCTTACTACCCCGCGGGCGTAACACTCCCGGGCTACGTCGCTAACACCTTCGGTGCAAACCAACTGCGTGCGATCTTTGCAGTTGGCGCAACCGCCATTCTCGCATCAACTTACAGCATCATCAAGAAGACGCGCCCTAGCTTGCCCAATGGTGAAGTTGCGACGGCTTTGTGGTTCACTCTCAGCGCCTTTATCCATCTCTTCTTTGAAGGTCAGTGAAACCCCAGCATGGAGGGCGTCGTACCGTGGGCGACTCGACTAATACAAATAGGTTATTTCTCATACAATCAAGCCAACATGCCGGCTACCGTGCACATCTTCGGCCAGCTTTGGAAGGAGTATTCCTTGTCTGACTCTCGCTACCTGACGCAGGACTCCTTCATCGTCTGCATGGAGACCATCACGGCCTTCTGCTGGGGCCCGCTGTCCTTCGCCTGCGCCTATTGCATCGTCACCGGCCATGCCCTCCGCCACCCGCTGCAGCTCATCATCAGCCTCGGCCAGCTCTACGGCGACGTGTTGTACTTTGCGACGTGCTCTTTTGACAAGCTTGTAGCCAAAATGATGTACTGCCGGCCCGAGGACTTTTACTTTTGGTGCTACTACGTCTTTTTCAACGCCTTCTGGATCGTCATCCCATTCTACCTAATTGCCAAAAGCTGCGTTGAGATAAAGCGAGCTTTTGAGAAGGTTGCAGAGTTGGACAAGACATCACCCTCAAAGAAGAATATCTGATCCTTGTTAGAAAAAGGGGTCCTTCCTGCCAAGTATCAAGTATTTCTGTTGGAATAACAGACCAGCTAGTTGTACGACATGCACGACTCAAGGACACACATCACGGCAGAGGGCACAGACTGGATATTCGGCCCTCGGTTATCTATTGAGGGGATCAAAGTATATTCATGCCGAACTGACTCAGGGACGCACGAGATCATATATTTCGTGTACGAAAGCCAAGTCTTGTAGTTAGGAAGATAATCACGGAAAATACATCTTTGGTTCACCCTAACTTTTAACCCGGGTACGATCGTACACACGGGTTCTCTCAGGAAGAGAGAATCCATTCAACAATTTCAACTATTTTTGACAATGAAAGAGGCAGCTGATGTGCGTTCAATTGCTTCGTCTGTGTAGCCCATGTTCAAACAAAACCGCTTCTAAATATAGGCGTTCGTGGTGATCAAGGCCCAGCTCGTGGGTTACATGGATGTTGAAAAGTTTTGGAAAGCTTTTGAATCGTAAACATTAATGGTAATTCTATTAGGGTTCTATGTATTCATAATCTCATAACTCAGGGTCATTCATCTAAGGCGCATATTTGAACAGCGTCTCGAGCTGCTCAGAGCCGTATCCAGTGTACAGCGCAAGCTGCAGCATGATGCGAGCCTTCTGCGGGTTCAAGTTCCAGCCACCATACGTGTTGAGCGTGCTGCTATCCTCGACAAAGCCGCCCATAGTTCTGCTGGAAACCACAATCTGAGTGCCGTTCTCCTGTGCCAGCTTGTTCAGGGCATCCCGGCCAGGCGTAGTCCAACCGCCGGCACCCATGCCGGCCAAGACAAGACCCTTCGCGCCGCTCTCAACTGCAGCCGTGGCCAAGGCCGGGTTGAGGTCCTGGTGGCCGAAGAGGATGTCTACCTGGGGCACCTCAGTCGCCCCGGAGAGGTTGAAGTAAACATGTCCAAGAGGCAGAGAGGGAGGGTAGTAGAAGACGGGCTGGATGTCAAGGAAGAAGCCGAGGTAGCCCTGCTCGACTGCCTTGAAGGTGTCGAGGGAGTTGGAGTGCGTCTTGGTGTTATAGAAGGCGCTGCCAATGCGGTCATTGAGGACAATCATGGTACCGCGGCCCTTGGCCTCGGGACTGCCAGCAAGGGTAACGGCCTCGAGCAGATTGATGGGGCCATCGGCACTGATGGCTGTGGCGGGGCGCATGGCGCCGACGACGACGACCGGCTTCTCGCTCTTGACAGCGAGCTGAAGGAAGAATGCGCTCTCTTCGAGAGTATCCGTGCCGTGGGTGACGACGGCTCCCTGGCAGTAGGGGTCGTCGAGGGCCTCCTGGACCAGACGGGTGAGGTTAAGCAGAATCTCGGAGGTGATGCTTCCCGAGTCCACGTTGGCGACCTGGACGCCCTTGACATTGGAGACGTTCCACAGCTCGGGGACAGCGTCGATAAGGATGTCGACACCGAGAGCACCGGCTTGGTAGCCTGTTGTCTGGGCGTTGGAGGCGGCGGAGCCGGCAATTGTGCCACCTGTAGCGAAAATTGTGACGTTGGGCAGGCTGGCGTTGAAGTGCGTCTCTCGAGTTGAGAGAAGGTTGTAGACTGGGAGTGGGGCCGGAGCCGCGAGGCCGAGGGCCAGTTGGGAGGCCGCAACAAGTAGATTACGGGTGTGCATCTTGGCTGTCTGTCACGCTGACGAGGTCTTGGAGAGGACTGTGTCGTTGTCTGTGGGCAGCGATGACGTAGAGGACAGTGGGAGTGTTTGCTCTGCTCTGCTAACTACATCAAACAACGTCGGACAGGAAGCTGGTCACGCTTTATACCGGTGTCACTGAGGCATATTATCTCAATGGCTTCAACAAACAAGACTGATGCCATTGCGATAAGACCGATGCCATTGGATCCGGTGCCAACATCGGAGATGCAGGAAAAGTACCTTGCTGGGCCAGGAAGAGTTCGCGCTAGAAACCGTGGAGCAAACTGTTGCCCGTCACTACCAGGCATCATCACCGCCCTTATCTCGTCGGCTTTGGTCCTATCACACGTGGTTGGGCCCCGAAGACGCCGCAGCTAAGGCAGGCATGCGCTGGTTCCAAGCTCTCGGGTCTTCTCTTATCAGCTCGGCAAAAAGCAAACAAAGTGCCGCCAGCAGGGATAGAGGCCTTGGGGGTTGAGTCCCGAATCCATGTTTGTGGGTAGTTCCGTCGTGCGGTGCCTACTGGCGTTGGGAAAACCGAGTCTTATCTGGACTTATCTCTGATAGCTGGGATGCATAGTTCGGACGAGATTACGGCATTACGACAGACCTTAACCCGGGGAATTGACTAGTCTATGAGGTTTATTGAAGAATTGCATGGCGGCCCCGGACCGCTATACGGGGCTTACATGTTTCTGCGGGGCAGGCGGGTCCAAAGGCGTGGAAATGACTCGTCGCTTTGGCGGCGGCCATCGGAGCCAGTCGATAACGGACGGAAAACACGTTTCCAGCCCCCAGCACAAGGTTCCGGTTCCGGCGATCCGTCCATCGATATCGTACCGAACCAACTTACGCAAAGGCTTGACATCCATGGCAGTTATTGATTGATATCATTGAGGAGTCCCGGAAAAGATATATCTATCTAGGCGGCCATGGCCAGAGCGGATACTCCTGTCGAACGGCAGTTGGGGATTACTAAACGGCTTAGTTTCAGTGACATCAAATGGCTCTCTTCCACGCGACCCTGTGTGGGCGTGGCTATGCTCGACTGAAGGAAGGTCCAAGTCGCTGTGGCGACGATTGGCGAGTTTTATACGACTGGACAGCTATCAATTGCTTGAGCGAACACAGTGCATTTGTCACTTCTATTAGTACACTATCTTGAAGTGAATACTCTAGAGGTGATTCTCCATCGCATTGTCACAGTGTATATCTGGACAGAGACACAGCGAGGGGGTTGATACTATAGTTAGCATTCCATTTATTCATACTTTCGTTTCAGAGTTTCACAATAAAGACGTCGAAGTATAGTTTCCTCACGCAGCACTTCTGGCCTCGATAACAAGGCTGAATACGGATGTGTATCATAACCGTTCAATTTGGAGCTGTAGCGTTGAATCTCTGGTGGTGCTGCATTGCCTTGAGCCATCACCTTGGACATGTTTGATAGTCCTGAGGCGCAACAAGCCGGAAACCTTGTGTTGGCATAAAACCCCTGTCTGGGGTCTAGCATCAAGAGAGCTGAAACGGCATCTCTTTGCCTCCTGCTTGCCATTATGTATGTACTGTTTATAGCCTTGATTGCACGTATGTTCTTGACGACTATTTCGGCCTTCTTTGACTCGACACTCTTTGAATCCCTTGCACAACCTTTTTGCAGATGATACTGAAATGACGCTGATAAACGGGTAGAGTATGGAAACGGTAGCCGCGAGATGACACAGGAGATGTGCGTCGCAGGCAATAACTTTACATGTGAGATCAACAAATTAGCTGAGAGGGTCATGGGAAAATAGTTTCCTAGGTTTGCTTTAATCTCGGGGATTCACTGTGGCCTCTTTGACCATGTTTGGCGACTGACCATTTGAATGTTGACTTCTCCTTAACTTTCTACCACCCAAATTTAGCAGGAAAACTTCTCAGCCAAGGTGATCTCGGATATAATTGATGTTTCTGGTGTAGTCTTTCTTTGCAACACGCACCATACGGAACGTTACACCTACTAAAAACGCAGCATAGACATTGGGAGCGGATTGTGAACGGGCGTTTCCTTTCACAGAGTCTCTTTGCAGACTGCTATCCCTTGCATACTGCTACTTCGTGAGCTGTACCGCGGTCTTTTTCAAAGCAAGAGGCCAAACTTGCACGACAAACAGTACCAACAAGCATGCCGGACCGAAGCAAACGTGAACCAGTTAGATGACTTGGAATTTTATTTTTGGGCGTTTTCCCACACTGGAGGTCTAAAGTAAATGTATGAGCTCACTCGCAGCGTTGTAGGCGCAGATGACAGCCACCAGATGACCAATAAACCATCCAGAACCCTAAGATATTAGCGAAAAGACTTAATCAAACCTCGGTCGCTCAAATTTGTTTTTTTTTTGATTTGGGTCCTCCGTTAATTCAGCGCGCACTGTTAGCTGGAGACCAGTGATATTCCAAGTCAGGTACATTGACCACGCCGGAGGAAACATCTTCTCAACTCGCCTCACCTTTGGCATCACGTAGCACACCACAACCACGAGGAAGGCACTGCTCTCTAGCAGCTCCTTCCCTTTCTTTCGCAAATGAAACGGACTCGGGAACCTCTGCGGCCTTCAGATTATTTGCTCGCACTTCATTTTGACCTAGTTACCCAAAAGGGGAATAGAGGCAAGTGAATCCCGTGACTTGGCCAGTCGAGGCCGCCAGACGACGTTGGAAAGACTTTCCTTCTTCCCTCTCCACCCGTAAGCCCGAGATCTTTTCCTCCTCTCTTGCTTTACACCAGAGACGCCTCTTCACCCTTTTCACCGACCCCGACTAATGAAAATCTCATACTTCTTCTTCCCTTCTTCTTTCCTTTCCCCAGCGACGCGTCTCCTTTCTCCTGTCTTCTCGACCTGAATAGCTCCACTGCTTTGCTACACCCACAATACCACAACGAAGTTTAACTGCCGAAATCTTACGCGACAAGCTACAAGATGCGCAGATTACTTGCACCCATCATCGTCTTTGTGGCATACGCCTTCGCGCGTGCTGTCCCCGACCCCAACGTATTCGATGCCGCTACCACCATTCCGCTTCACCAGGAGATCATCTTCAAGGCTTCCAATGGCTCTGACGTCGTCTTCAACATCGCCGCTGGCTTTAACATCGTCGATGATACCCGCAACCTCTCTTGGCCCACTACCAAGCGCATTAAGGTCGTCAAGGCTGGCGAGCATGTCGGGCTCTGCACCGTCCGCGCCAGCCAGAGAGACAGCGGCGTCGGCAGTCCCCGTCGTAACGACTGTCAAGCGCTCTTCGACTATGTAAACGAGAACCCCGCTCTCATTTACTTCGAGCATCGTGACTCTGATACCGATCGCTGGGCCGAGGTATTCTGGGTTGGTAGCTGTGGCTTCCGCACCCGCACTTACACCCGTGACGTCGTCTTGTCCACCGGAGACATCGCCAACTTCCTCAACCGATCTTTGAGCCGCCCTGCCTGGACTATCGGCGGCAAAATCTCAGCCGCCGGTGAGGCAGACTGTGTGGTTTGGAATGGACCTACAGGCAGCGCTCCAATTTTCTGGAGACTGCAGCCGCATGGCCTTCCGGTCCTTGCTCGCGCCAAGAACGAGATTCTCGACGGTCACTTCAATTCTGGCAACACAAGCGCCCAAACCATTGAGGTGCGCCAAGCCGAGCCAAAGAAGCCCCTCATTGTCGACTCCTTTGCCTTGATTCCCAGCAACACTTCTGCCTACGTCTTCAACGGCACCGTTCATGAGGCTCCAGACAGCGTCGAGTCCGCCAACTTCACCATCTCCAAGCGCTACGAGATGTATCTCGGTGGCAATCCCGAGGGCCCCTTCTGTACACCCATGTGGCTCTCCTCCGACTGGGATCAACCAAACACACCGCTCAAGTCCGACTGTCAGCAGCTGCTCAAGTTCTGCCAACAAAACACTGCCAAGGTCGTTTTTAAGGAACGCGACCTGAACTACTGGGCCAAGTTTGCTGCCCACGAATCCTGTGGTCTCAGCTTCATGACCACCAAGGAAAGGATTTGGATCACCAACCGCGACATGGCCGGCTTCCTCGAGAGGGCCATCAACTACGAGCCCTCCACTTACCAAGAGATTGGAGTTCGTGCTAAAATGGGCGTTCGGTGCGGTTTCGAGAACGAGAAGAAGTACGATGGCGAATTCAGACTCTTCTATCGCGACCCCAGTCTCCCTCAGGGTCAAATCGAGCAGCGCGACACGAACCTTTATGTTGGCGCCGTTGACGAGACCGAACGGCGCGACATCTCTCCCATGCCGTCAGATTTTGAGGCATTCTCTGAGGACGATTCTTCCGTGGACTGGATCGACTTTGTATTCACCGACCGCGATGGGAATAACGTCACTGCTCAGATCAACTCCAAAGCCCTGTCTGTATCTCCCGATGACAACAAGAAGATTGACGACAGACTAGAGAGATTTGAAACTCCGCTGGGCCCCTCCAAGCGATGCACCGGCAAGACCACCTACATGGGCGGCGCCAGACCCGACTCGGCCCTTGTTGAAGACTGCAAGAAGCTCCGCAACTTTATGTCCGTCCGTCGCTTCTACTTTCGATGGAGCCAGGAGTCTAACATGGGCCCTGGCCAACCTCTCGCTAAGGTCGGCACCTGCCACCTCGCGTGGGCCGCTGACGACGATGTTGTTGTTGGCAACATGGACATTGAAATCCTCATGACGAATGCCATCGACAAGCTCGACAACACCAAGGGCAGGATGCGTGGTTGGGGTCGTGAGTATTGCGACTTCGCTGATCAGTACGGTGTCAAGGAGATTACGAAGTGGCTCATCTTCCCTTAAGGATAAGTGATGACGGATTGATACAGGAATGAGACATCGGACGCTCTGTTTACTGGCTCCAGCCTCGGGCATATGGCAGGGAGCAGGTTGACAATCGGGACTCTATAGTTATACTTTTACGTGAAAGTGCTATAGATGGAATAGTATAACAGTGCACTGAGCGCCCTATCGCAAACGTTGTGTACGTCCGCTCTTAGTGGTGTTTGATGTAGTTCAATTGAACCAGCTTGACTCGTTCTTCCCCACGTGTCGCACCCACCGAATCCTACAGGATGATGGAACCCGCCCCCCAGTTGCATCACGCGGATATTGCCTACTCCCGCCATCTTCTAAATTATACCTCACCTCCATCGCTTCAGTCAAACCATGGGTACAGCAGCTGCAGGACTAATCGCAGCCCCAGTGGATGTTGTCTCAACGCCAATAGTATCCTGGTTAACAGTCCGTCGACTGTGGCTTTCCGCCAACTTTGCTGCAAATTTCGCTCATAGTCAGGTCGCCAAAGGCATCGGACAACAATGGTCCCTAACGTTCTACCCAACTGGGCCAGGCTGTAAGTCAATTCACCGCTTTTAGCATCTAAACAACTTAACACTCGTCGCTTCCACGATACTGACGGTTGACAGGACGCTAAATATCCTAACCGTCGCTTCTTACCTCCCCCAGTACCATCGCCTACGGGAACAGGGCCACTGCGACGGTCTTTCGCTATACTACCTTGTTTTCAATCTTATCAGCGCCACGGAACAGTTTGCCATCGGATTCTTTCTCAACGTAACCGACAATGGCTTCCCGCGCCCGGATGTCTTCGTCAACAACCCAGCCACACCGGGTGACTGGTTCAATTTCTGCCAGCTCGCGGTTGTCTGGCTTTGTTCCCTGTTTCTGTAAGTCGCACAAACGAAAACATTTTTGGTCCTCAGGATTTTGGACTTGTAGGCTGACGGGTGCGCTGGAAGATTCATCACCTCCCTCCGCCATGCTGCAACAAACAACCAGAGACAAGGCCATCGACTCGCTGTCTTGACCATTTACGTCGTTTTCCTACTCACGTCACTCATCCCCGTCGTGCTAGATGCTCTTCAACCTCCAATCCGCTCCGAGCCGCGACGCTGGGCCGAGGAGATTTTCATCCTCTTCCATTACCTCCTCATCCTCCCTACGACTACGATTGTCACCGTCGCCGCTGCTATTCCGCAAGCTCGTGAGATACGGTCTCGTTCAGACGCAGGCGCCCTAAGTCTCCCGGGACTCGCCGCACAAACCGTTGTCTTTGTCCTTGTTGCAATATCCTGGATGATACGCGTCAAGTATCCTCCGTACTTGCCGTCGTGGGTAGAGTGGTATCGGTTGATTGGTTGGCCGGTAGTGAACAACGCACTTTTCGCCTTGGTTCAGGGGGTCCTGCTGTTGGTCGCTCTACGTAGTGCGGAAGACGAGGGTTTCGACTTGGAGAGACAGGCTCTGCTCGGTGGCTCAAATGTTGCGTTCATCTCGCAAGGCGTCGGAGAACACCAGAACGTGACGTTGATAAGTGACTGTGCGATGCAGAGTCGTTACAATTTGCGGCAAGACCTTCCGGCAACACTCCCTCGTTCATCGAGTTCCTGAATCGCCCGGTTCACACATGGAGTTGCAGCTGATTAGGCAAGCAACTTTCGTTTCTCAAGGCTGGCTCGAAAGTGTCTGGAAGACCTTGGCATCCAAACGCGGGGATGTCTTGTCTGCAGGCTAGCCGAGCTGACTGGTTTGTCTCTAACCCCTCAATTGCATTCCCCTCCCAACTGTCTTGGCCAAAAGTCACCTTCCTGATGCAGTTGTTCTTGGCACGTCGGTTACCATGCGAATTGACGGCGAGCTGATAGACGTCGGCGTTGGATATTTTCTCTATTGCATGATATCATGTTTCTTTCGAAAGCTTCGGTTCCCGTCTAGGGATCCTGCTGATGCTGCTCACACGCTCTCGCCTGACGGCCAAGCCCTTTTACTGCTACTGATGCCAGTCAGTAGAAGATTACGAAGCGAGCGGTAGGAGAGCCGAGTGAAGACGATGGCTAAGGGCAAGCTGATATGGAAAAGACGTGAGACACCCAGCCCAGATTTTACTTCTTAGCCCTGAAGCCAAGATCAAGACCGCTTGGCCAATCATGACCGCGGGAAGCTCGAAGCAATTAGCCAATGGCAAACGTCGGCTCTGTGCCTTGCAGACCATGATAGAAGACCCTGTGGACAACCTTTTTTGCTATCTTCTTCCTTGTCAACGCAACTACGAGGCCAGCATCGGTTTTCCGGGCTCACCGCCCGGGTACGAAAGCCTGCAAGTTCTCAAATCTTTGCAGCTTCCCATTACAGTTCTCGGCGTACATGAAATCAAGTTGGGGCTTGCTTGGGGCCACAACCATCTCCACCCGGCGGCGGTGCGGCGTCATACCCTCTCAGTGTGTCACCGAACTTCGCTTGGAGCCGGGCCAGAATGTTCTGAGCGCCAGCGTCCACTAAGTCTCCTAAAATGGGCCACTGCCAGAGGGGTTGGTGATGCAACCCATGCAGGTTCCCGCTATCCTGGGAACTCTGACGAGTATAAAAGAAGCCATTTCTACGGAGAGTAGTGCGTGGTGAGCTGGAGACTGTAGCCGCAAGCCAGTTCGCCCTACAGTCGCCCTAAAGTCGGGTCAATTGCATATCAAACGCGGTCATCATGCGCTTCACTCCCCTCCTCGCGGCTCTCGCCGCGACTTCGGCCATCAGCTCCTCCGTTGAGCCCCGCGACCCTAGCAAGCTCTTCACCCTCGAGATTGCGCCTGGCGAGACCGTCATCGTCACGGAGGAGGAGAAGTGGGAGATGATGGACGTATGCTCTACCCGCTTTTCCAATCACCTTGATGAGCTGGCAGTACTAACGCTGACAGAAACGCGTTCACTTCTTCGACATCACGGAGTGGTCAGACGTCCCTACTGTCGCCTCTTCCGCCGACTTCAAGCTTCTCGCGGCGCTCCCCTTCCCGACGGAGATGAACCAGACGTGCCACGTAAACGCCCTGATCCCTAAGCTTAACAAGGACAACATGCGTACGCACCTCGAGCGCTTCTCTTCTTTCCACAACCGATACTACCTTTCCCGAACGGGCGTTGAGTCCGCAGAGTGGCTTTATGGGCAGATCAGTGCTGTTGTTGATGCCTCGGGCCACCCCACAGCCAACGTACGCTACGTTCGCCACGTCGCGTGGTCGCAGCCTAGTATCATTGTGACCATTCCTGGTCGGAACCAAAGAACTGTCGTGGTTGGTGCGCATCTCGACTCTGTGATTTCGGGCGACCGTGGCGCCGGTCGTGCGCCTGGTGCTGGTAAGTCGCTTTTCTTATGCTTATATCGGTTTGAGGACCACGACATATTAATGAAGACAACCAGACGACAACGGCTCCGGATCTGTCATGATTCTCGAGGTACTCCGCGTTTTCCTCTCCGACAAGCGCATTGCCTCGGGCGACCTCCTCAACACCGTCGAGTTCCACTGGTACGGCGCCGAGGAGGCTGGCCTGCTCGGCAGCCAGGACATTTTCACGCAGTACCGCACGCTGAACCGCCAGGTTGTTTCCATGCTGAACCAGGACATGGTTGGATACATCGGCCGCGACGGTGTCGAGCGCTTCGGCGTCGTCACGGACTGGACCGACTCCGACCAGGTCGCGTACATGAAGCGTGTCATTGATGCTGTAAGTGGACTTACCCTGATGGCATCTCGTGGTGGCTGTTGAGAGTCCTACGATATGCAAAGACTAATGCGGCCCGGGTGCAGTATACCGATATTCCTTACGAGGAGACTGTGTGCGGATATGCCTGCTCTGACCACGCCTCTGCGAACCGTAACGGCTTCCCTTCTTCCTTCATCTTTGAGACGCCGTTTGGAAACCACAACCCGTATATTCACACGCCCAACGATACCCTGGAGCACGTCTCGTTTGACCATGCCTTACAGCACGCCAAAATGACGACCGGCTACGTTTACGAGCTGGCTTACTGGCCATTTGCGTAATGTAATAGTTGTGGCTCTAGTCTCAAAGTTGCAAGACATCAGCTACCCAAAGCATAAGGACGTTTCATGGTCAGAAGACGTCATTTAACTATAACAATGATTGCTGTCTTAAATGTGTAAAGTTATGGGCTCAGTGACTGAACACAACGTGACTGTTCTTTTGCTCAACAACCGAGAGCTTCAGCCCCAGCACTTGCCGCTGACAATTATCCTTCCTCTCTTATTGACCGCATACGACCATCGCTTCAGCACTCAGCCATACAACCATAGCACTGTAACTCAATAACTTGCTTCACATACACGGTAGAACTAGCGATTATCTTGTTGGGGGAAAAGTACCATAGAATGCCTGAAGGCAACCGAGCAAACCTCGATGTCTCTGTGGGCAGTTTAGTTGTCATCATCAGTTCTTGGCGCCAATCTGGGCACCGCATGACCCTCCTGCTGATGTGACACACGGAAGAGGTTTAAAAGTCTCTTATGAGACAAGCTCAGCCGCATTCCATTTACAACCTTCGTTTCTGGAACCTACCACAGACTATCGCTGCGTGTCTCGTAAGAGTGATTTCTCAAGATAGCTTAGCGTCCCGTTAGTTGCAAGTCAGGTGATATTTCCATAGTTTCTCCGCTCCGAGACGTCGTCCTGGCCCAAGGTTCTATAGTCACAGCGCCGGTTGCGTCCTCATGTAGCCGCAATACCCCCTTTAGACGCATGCAGTATCCACCCTCTGTCCCTGGTGGGTTTCTCACATCACGCAATCTAACGCAACTGCACACCGCTTGCCCACTGCATCTATCACCACTATTTGCTCCCGCTCGGCGATTGACTATACTTCATGATGGATTGGCTATCCTGGCTCTTTGTAGCATTTGCTATTTTGATGATCGGTCGCGTAAGTAGCACCCGCCAGGCCATCAAGTCATCCGAACCGAGCCTAAGCGCCTCAGCTTAGTCCCTGATGCGACGTAGAACACAAGCTCCATCAGAGCTGGGGGTGCCGCCATATCGCCTGAGTGTTTGCTGACGATCCTGTCTCAAGACCTTCTTCGCAGACCGCTCGCCCATCCCCGAGACATCAGGCAAGGTGTACAAAGTTGCCAGCGCGGCCGAGCTAGATGCCCTCCTGGCCTCGACCACTGACGTGGTGGTCGACTTTTACGCAGACTGGTGTCCCCCTTGCCGGGCCATCGCGCCCATCTTCTCCGGTCTAGCAGACAAGCACGCCTCAGATGGTCGCCTGGCCTTTGCCAAGGTTAATGTCGATCATGTCGACGCGGTCGCCGGGCGGTACGGCGTGACTGCTATGCCGACCTTTGTCTTCTTCCACAACGGCAAGCCTCAAGGCGTCAAGGTCGAAGGCGTCACGCCCAAGCAGTCTGTCGTCCTTACTAGCGAAGGGCTGGTGGACCGGGTGAGGGGCGCAGACAGGGTGACTCTGCAGGCTGTTGTTCAGGTCTTGGCCGGCGAAGCAAGAAAAGACGCGAAGCAGTGATGAACTGCACATGTTCAGGAAGACGGATCGGTCCTCATTACAGTTGGGTTCAGTATGCATAAACCACGCGCTTACGTACACGGCGCCTCGAGGCTTCTGATTGTTCTCCAGACGTAGTGTAAATAGTAGCGAGGAGGTGCAAGGTGTGCATAAAACAGCCGATGGCAGGTGGAACGCCTGGCTAACTCAGCCGCTCGAAAGCACGAAATACCAGGCTTCAAAAGCATCGAATGCAACGTGGCAGAGTCTATGATTGAAGGCGATATATCCGTGAATCCTTACCCCTGACAATTGGCCATCTAGATCGACCTCTGCGTTTAGTACTGTGACATGTATAACAAATAAAACTAATCACGTCCGCATATGGCAGCACTTGTATCTGCCTTTCAGGCAGGAAAGGGTGCCAATCGTAGTTCATTTGTTTTCTAGCTCCTATAGAACAAGGGGAATTCCGTGCCTTCGCGGCCTTTTGTGGCGCAGCAAGGGGTGAGATGCTCGTGTAATCGGAATAAGCTATCAAGACTTGAACTCTTTCTTTTTAGCAACTGTTATTGGCCTTTTAATTCATTTCGTCACTGTTTGGCTCTCTATTCAATACAGGTTTACATGTTGCCTCAGAACTCTATCTACTTTGGGCAGCCGATTCCCCAGCCGGTGGTGGTAGAGCAGCAGTCAGCATCCTGTGATGACCGTCAGTTGATCGTACAAAGTACCTAAGGAGAAAATACTCGGGCTTACACAGGTTTCAGAAATTGGCTTGCCATTGAGCATGACGTTCTCGCAAAAGCTGGGACTCTGCTCGGAGCAATATTGAGCGCTCGTTCCACGAGGTGTGCCGCCGCGATTCTGGTTGGTGCAAGCCTTCTGGCCCTTGCCCCAGCAGCAATTGTCGAGGACACTGTCGCCGCTGAACCATCCATAGATACGACACTGCAAGGTTCAGTGATTTCCCAAGCAGATGAATTGGCGGAGCTCAGCTTACAGAAGCGGCAAGAGTGCCAGTGGTATAGACAAGGCCGAGAAAGGCGATCTTAGTGAAAAGCATGATGATTGATTTGAAGTTGAAACTGGTGGAAATAAGGAATGTCCGGGGAAAAAGAAAGAGACTTGAGAGCTGGATTAGTGATAAGCTGGTGATGAATGAATGAATGTGGTGACCAGAGTTGTAGCAGATGGTGGGGTTTTCTCATTGTCTTTATACAGAAACTCAACAATCACAACGAACTTGTCGCACTTTTCCGCGTAGTCTCCGTATCCTAATTAATGTCATATTCATCCCCAAAAAGACTCGGCAATTTCAAGAGAATCTCCCGGCGTACTCGAAGAAGAACCATCACTAATCAAAATCAACCTTTCTGAGAGCACCAAGAAACTCAATGGCGCAAGGATACTAAGGTGAACATCTTCTCCCCACGAAGACCATTGAGATAGATACAGTGGGGCTAAGCTGTGCCCAAAGTTTGGCAAAGATTTACAGTAACCGGACAGTTTTGTGTCACAGATAAGGGGCAGAAGTTTAATTGAAACTTTATCGAGTCATAGAGATTGATCCGGTTGCCAACTTTGCCAGTCCTGGGATGCTCGACAGACCGAAGAAAGTCAACTTCGCATCGACCACTCATTGTATTAGAATAATGAGCAGAAGAGACGAACTGATCCACAGAGGAGAGTTTGTCTAAAGTTTGGGCGGAGCTGAATGTTGCCGGTTTTACAGATCTAATCGAAAACCTCCCGAGCCATCAGGAATAGAGTTGTCAGCACGGCCAATCTCAAATATATTCGGCTTGGCATCGCTGCGTACACGCGTAAACGCAGCGCCAGACGCGGGACCACGCTTTTCTTTTCTCATGATCAGGATACTCAACGTGGTTGAGATTGATTGACCCGGCAGTGCGGACTTATAGGCTGAAACAAAGACTTTATTTTACATCTACATCTACCTAGTACCGCTTGGGCTTTCGGACAACGGGACTGCTCTCGAATGAATCAGACACACCAAACTTTGGTATAAGTCTAATTACTGACCGGTTTCTAGTTAGTTAGCAGTCAACCCTCGTCTGCCATTCTGCCCTAGCTGCAATGTCAAAAGCTTTTGGCGCGGTTGATAGCCAATCTATCAGGCTTTCAGTACAGCATGAGATGATATAGCGGACCTCATTTTGATATTGTAGGGTATAGGAAGCTTCTGGAAACCCATTGAACAATTGCATTATTGTCAATGAGTTTTCTACAATTAGAAAAGCCAGCAAATTAAAGGCCCTCGGACCAATTCATAATCGGAGCCGTCAGGCTGCTTTTGTGTTCAAAATCGCATATAAACATGCCTAGCCCGCCTTCAAATGCGCTATCTAAGTGTCATTACCTCAACATTATAACCTAAGCCTGGAATATCACGCTCAAAATCAGTCTTTACTCTGAAATTATTTCCAAGTTTTAAGTCTATCATTCAAAATGCAACTCTCCCAACTTTTCTTGGCTAGCCTCGCCACTACGTTCTCCTCTGTCTTCGCCGCTCATGTAAGTCATTAAGGGTTTAATGTAAATGCCCCTCTTTCTTACAAAGAACAGTGTGTGATAGAAGGCGCTTATCGCACCGACTGCTGCTGGGGCGGCAGTGATGGATATCGATCTTGCATGAGACAAGTAGGGAATCGATATTTCTGCGAGGCAGATACCGATAACTACTGCACCAACGTCAAAGGACCCAGTGGGGCTATGATGTCTGAGACTTGCGTAAGTTAATTGCTGAAGGGGAAGAAGATGTAAGCTCTGCTAAACATATGTATAGGACGCGGACTGCTGCAACACGCTCAATGGCTGGGGAACGGGATGCCCCAAATAGAGAGTTATCAACGTAGAAAGGTCTCTAGCGATTAAATTCATTCATTTATTAGATGATGACATTCTTCAACCTTCAGGAAATCACATGATGGTTGAATTCCTGATGGATTGTCAAATTCCCAAATGAAGGGTGACGACCGTTCAAATGAGTATACTTCGCGTACGCTAGAACATGACAGTCCAAAATCAAACCATATTCAATCATTGACACACTCCTGAACAATATTATAATGAATGGTGGCTCGTGGTAGGCAAGAGATCTGCTCATGTGTGGTCCAGCTTCTTATTCAAGTCCATGCCAATGACTTGGTGTCTTGCTGGACATTGCAATGTCTTCCACCAGGTGCGTCACTAGGAGATGAACGAAGAAAGCCATAATCATCACCTGTCACCTCAATTTGCACACTTTTGAGAGATTGACCTAAAGCTTGGATCGGCATTGTGGGACACTGGCTTAGGTTTGACAAGGGTCAAATGTAAATCTACTCCGAAGTAAGAGGAAACCTTTCCGAATGACAAAAGAGCATGGTTAATTCAAGATTTGTAATTAGTTATCAGTGATCGAAGGATATCAACCCGGCTTCATTCTATAAAGTATACATGCACTATCTACTAGTAACTCATGAATGGCGGAAAGACTTCCTGAACTTGCAAAGCTTAATGAGAAGATAAACTTTCCAAAGATGCCAAGGGCATCTTAACCGGTTCCTGTGGAGAGTCCGCAGAGAGTCAAAAATGTAATACTGTAAGGCATTGACTCGGAATAAATCTCAGACATAATCTGCGTGTCACAACGGAGAACGTTTCCCTCTCTCATGAGGCTTGATTTCCAATTATTGTAACTGTCGGGCTTGAAAACGATGTCTAGGAATCCATGGGATGTTGCCATGCATACTAAGTCTGCGTGTCGTCCTTCATAAAGCTTAACTAGAAGCCACGTAAATATCGACCATTACTAGCTGCCTCGATCGAGACATGGTCCGTGGTTACATATATGTGAATCATCCGGTGAGAGCGACCCAATTCCGTAAAATTTCCGACCCTAGCCAAGACTCGAGTCATGATCGCTAATTATGGGTCGTGCGGTGCGGAGGGTGGGCTCAGGACATGTTATGGATTCAACAGCCATGGTCTGCAAAAGGTCCCCGAAAGGAGTGATATAAGATGTCCAAGAAATCCAGTCTATATGGATTCTTACCTAGCCCACCAGCTTCCATCCAAAGATACAACAAGTCCTTTCAACACACTCACTATTTGGCTCTTTTCTCTTATTATTAACCGCCACTGTCTTTCTCTCACTGATATATTCACTTCATCAACCACAATGCAGTTACCATATACTATTGCTGCTATCGTCTCAATTATTGCAGCGCCAGTTGCTCTCGCCTCCGAGGTACGTGCCTATCGATTACCACGTTATCTTTCATAGAAAAGCCTAATACTCCATAGTGTAAGATTGGGTATAATACACCAACCACCGACTGCTGCTGGGGCAGGGGCCAAAAGTCTTGCATGAACCAGAACCATGACTCTGGGTGGTGTGCTAGCAATTCTGCCAACTTCTGTTACAATGTCATGAGGCAGGGAACGAACATCCCAGTTTCAGACACATGTGTAAGTAGATGCTTTTGGTTACCGTAATTCGTCACTTGCTTACTTGCCTTAGGATGCCGACTGCTGCAGCACAGTTACTGGATGGGGCATTGGTTGCCCTAAGTAAACTATTTTAGTCATTATCTCCTTGGAAAAGATGGTGTCACAGCTTTGACTATTTAATGCTGACCCTATCATGTCTCAACTTCCGAAGAGCTTGGTGGTCGCCTGTTCTGGGCGGTGTTATATCGTTGATCAAGAATATGTGGGGGAGTGAGTCAACTACACTACAAAACTACAATAGAAAGTTCATCTTAGCTTCCGTAAGTATTGTATGAGGTATTTTGTGTTGACTTTACGATCGACCTCTGGAAAGTCTTTTGTATGCGGTTGGCGCGTTATTATGTCAACCCCTTGGCACAGAATCTATATGTATCATTACCTTACCGATTGACCGCAATTTTTATCAAGTCTGATGTAACTCTGGATGAAAACCTTCGAGGTCTCATCGATGGTGCAGCTAGGTTACCCATGGCGGCATGCCAATCTGATCGTCGGTGGCCTTTGCGCTGCCACTTTTCCGTCTGGAATACGAATCTTGCATTTTCGTCCCTTGACGTAGGGCCTGTTGCTGGGACCTTCGCATCGATCGTAGACCACTCAGCATCGAGCTTTGCGGCTTGCAACCATGTGTGCAATGCGTACTCTGTACACCACTTTTGCGTTTACCCCGCATCGCCAAACCAAGATGTACGTGGTCATTAACAAGGGTCAGATTTGGTCAGGGGTCCTTTGGCGGCTGCTCCCGGGTGGCGTTCGGCCCCAGGATCACAAGGTCTCTTGAGAGTAATTAACCAGGAAGACAAAGCCATTGTCATTACCCAAGAAACGAGCTAGAGGCTACAATAAACTGGTAGTATTTTGCATCGTATGTGCAAAGACTCAAGGGTCGGCATCGAATATCTCAATATAGAGCCATCGTCCAATTGATTCTGACCGGAGTCAGTCAGCGAATAAGCAATACTAACCTTGAGACGCGAATCTGCCGAGTTCGATGATATTTACATTCGGGTAAAGCCACGGAAAGGTATGATTCACCCCAATCACTACGCGCCTCTTCTGAGCACGCAAGAAATCTGCCGGGAGCGGGGCGCTGATGTTTTCTAGGCCAACAATGTGTTTCCACGTACGTGTCTGGCTAAACTGGGAGATTGGGAGTTGAGAGGGGAGGTTCTCTTTCGATTGGATGCCGCAGTTTCTTCTCTTGGAAGTGATAAGATGGCCAAGAAGTGGTGCAATCCGACGTCCTGCATGAAACGGACCGTGTGTGATTGAGTGGTGCAAGACACCCGGGGCAATTACCATCACGAACCAGACCCAAGCAAGCTAGAGCGAATATCCACTTTTGATACGGAAAGTCATCGAGCTGTGAAGCAAAACAATAATAAATAGTTTGTTTGGCGCAGTATGCATGTGATATGAGTGATTGTGCCGATTGGCCCGAGACCCCGCATCTTTGCATGAAACCTTGCGTCTCACTCCCTGGGGCAATGTTAATATCAAGAATCTGGAAGGAGGATAAGGAATCAGAGTGCGGGCGGCCAAGTTGGTGTCGCTTCTGACAGTGAGGGGCAATGTTGTCGGCGAACTATGCAGCTTCTCTTACTTGTATAAATAGGAGGGGTAAATAGCCCAAGGATTGTCAGGAAAGAGAAGTTATTTGGATTCAACCTTATGCAACTCCTTGTACTCCATTGATCTTTTAATACAACGCAATTTTTCGACTACCAATCAATATCCCCTTGCGCAACACAAACATAATGGGCATCTCCACCGAAGTCCCGCAAACCGTCGAGTGGGCGGGGAAGAGGGTCCCAATCTACCCCATGGAGACTGTTGACTTTGGACGAGTTCTGTCTCAGGAGCCAGCTGAGCTTGAGATTCTGCTTCGTTGCTGTCAAGAGCAGGGCTTTTTCTACCTGGACTTGAATGGACTAGATGGCAGCAGGTTCCTAGATGACCAGCAAAAGACTCTCGATCTCATGCACCGTTACTTTGAGTCCCCAATCGAGGCTAAGAACGAGCTTGGTCTCATTACCGCCCATCTCGGGTAAGTTACAGAACCGGTATCATATCAATGTCAAAAAGTACTGATGGTGACTGTTCAGATACGAGCCTGTTGGCTCACGTACGGGCGGTCTCCCTAACACCAGAGATGGTTACGAGATGTTCAAGGTCAGATACTCCTGGAGCACATAAGGCATATACATTGATTGAAACTGACACCGCTACAAACTAAGGTCTCTCGTGACGAGATCCAAAGAAAGGATCCCAAGTTCCCCAAGATTCTCCAGAACGATGCTGATAAAGCGATTTTGAAGAATGCCATTTCCGGCTCTAACATCGTCACGAAGGCCGTCCTCTCCGGTCTGTCCTCTGCCATGGGCCTTGTCGGCGCCGCTCGCTATGAGAACGCCCACCGCAACGACCGCCCTTCGACCTCCACACTGGCCATGATGCACTACGTCCCTGCGGACCCTGTCAAAGACAAGGAGATCGGCCACCAAAAGCATACCGACATCAGTTCCCTTACCCTTCTCTTCGCCGAGGAGTGGGGACTTCAGATCCGTCCTCCTGGAACCAAGGAGTTCGGCTTCGTCGCTCCCAAGAAGGGTTGTGCTATCATCAACGTTGGCGACTCGCTGCGTTTTGCCAGCGGTCACACCATGATGTCGTGCATCCACCGCGTCGTCCCGTTCAATCCCGAGGAGCACCGCTACTCCATCGCCTACTTCTTGCGCGCAGAGAATGAGACAATGTTCACCGACAGCGAGGGCAGATACGTCACTGCTGGCCAGTGGCATGATGAGAAGTTCTTCCTTTTCAAAGCCACCCCTGACATTCAGGCTTTGGCACCTCCTTCCATGCTGTACGGCGGTATGACTGCGGACGAGGAGTGGACTCCCTACACCCAGCCTGTTGCTAAGGCGCATGAATCTGAAGTACCTGTCGAGGGGCCGAAGCAGACGCCCGTTGTGAAGGAAACTTTGGTTGAGGCCCACTAAGCGGTAACCCTTGGATAAACGGGTACTAGTCATTGCAAACCTCATTGTAAACATTTGCATTGACATAGTCAGAGATTTGACGACTGTTGTCTTTGATATAAAGCATCTTCTATGAAATGAGAAACCAAAGATGTCAATCACAATGAGAAGTACTACGTTCTTGTCGGCCTGGTTCCTCGCTATCTGACACTAAGTCTTGTATTCAGTTCTGAAGAGACTGAGCTTGGAAATATCACCCCTAGTAGCGTGAAGCCAGCGCTCGGATTTGCTCTACTGATGAATGCAGCGTCTTACTCAAGGTCGACCAATATGTAACTGTGTTAGATTTCAAGCAATGGTCAAAATAGTGAAATACGTTCCTCTAGACTGTCGAAAAGTGCATGATCTTGAATGAATTTGGGGGGGGGGGATGAGGAAAAAAAAGAAAAGAACCAGTAAGAACCTTGTTTGACCCAGATGATAGCCTGAGCTTCGGAAGGTTGCTGGGGGTTGGGTTTAATAAAACCACCTGAGGCGAACTCGGCTCAGTCCGGAACCCCTGTCCTGATCAGCAGCCCCCTCTGCGAGGCCCGACAAGGGAGTGGTCGCCACTTGGATTGCTGGCAAATGACTAGGCTTTATGCGGTACTTTTTCTACAGGCTTCAAGTAACCAACTTGGCCTTACCTTTGCCCTAGACTGTAAAATCTGAATACAGAGTCATGGGCCAACTCGCCTGCAAGAAGAGGGATGAGCTTCCCCCGTACAGCCCTACCCCATCCGGAGAAGCTCTGCCCCCTGCGCAGAAATCAGCTCTCCAATTACCCCGCAGATCGCGAATACTGCGCGTTATCGGGCTAGCATGTCTCGCGTTCACCGTCTACGCGCAGTGGAAGCAGATCATCCCTTCGACCGAGGTATCAGGGAAAGGCTTCACGACTCATAGACTCTCCGTCCAGAAGTTGGAAAAAGACCTTGCAAAATGCGAGAAGCTGCGCACCAATCCTATCGATCCGCCCGGCTACGGCAGGACGCGCAATGCCCGATATGTTGATGGCCACAGACCTACCATCATCCGAAACGCGACTGTCTGGGTTGGGGAGCCAGCTGACGGTACTGCAAACTATTCATGGGTCTCGGCCGATGTTTTTATTGAGCATGGCCTTATCAAACGCGTTATGAAAGACATATCGATGTCGACTCTTCCGAGGGATGTCTTGGTCTACAACGCCGCCAGACGGCCGCTTACCAGCGGTATCATCGACATGCATAGCCATGCCGCGGTGCACTCATTACCGACATTGCATGGAAATGAAGACGTTAGCGAGCTATCCACAGACATCACGCCTTATGTTCGGTCAATTGACGGAATTCAACCTACCGATCACCAGCTTCAAGTCATCAAGTCCGGTGGCGTGACTACGTCGTTGATATTACCGGGATCGAGCAACAATATAGGTGGCGAAGCCTACGCGATTAAGCACGCTATTGGTGCCGCTGACGGGAGGAATCAGACGAGCGTTTTCGACATGCTGGCCGATCCGGAACATACCTGGCGTCATATGAAGATGGCTTGTGGCGAGAACTCTAAGCAGGTTCATGGTAAAGCCGGAGAGCGTGGTCCTTACAGTCGCCTCGGAGAGAGCTGGGAATTTCGCCAGGCTTTTGAGCATGCCGCCAATATCATGCGTGAGCAAGACGACTGGTGTAGTGCAGCGGCTACCAGCTTGGATAACGTTCAGATATACCTACCTAACGAGATCAAATGGGAGGCTTTGGTAGCTGTGCTCAGAGGCCAAGTCCACGTCCATGCTCATTGTTATACCATAACGGACCTTGAATCATTCGTCGACCATACCAATGAGTTCAAGTTTCCCATACGAGCTTTTCATCATGCCCATCAAACCCATTTGGTTCCAGAGGTAAGTTATCCAAAGTCAGATGGAGTCTGAAGCCATGCCCTTGAGTTCATTTCGCTGACAGACCATGTCCAGATTCTTAAAAGGGCGTGGGGTGATAAACCACCTGCGTCAGCCCTCTTCGCTGACAACATGTGGTACAAAGCCGAAGCCGCACTGGGCTCAGAGTATGCTGGCAAACATCTCTATGATGCTGGTCTTGTTCCCATCTACGTCAGCGACAACCCAGTTCTCAATGCACAGCATGTAGTATTCGAAGCTGCAAAAGGCTACAAGTACGGACTGCCATACCACGCAGCACTCGCATCAGTAACAACCGCACCAGCTGAGATACTGGGACTTGGCCACCGATTGGGCAAAGTAAAGCCAGGCTTCGACGGGGATATCGTGGTCTGGGACAGTGACCCATTAAGCGTTGGGGCCACACCAGTCCAGGTTTGGATCGATGGCACTGCTCAATACGAAGAACCTGTGGAACTCGACAAGAAGTACCAGGGCACTATTTTGCCAGAGGAAAGTCTCGCCAGCGTCTTTGAAGAAGCTACCATCTTACGAGAGGATGTGGTCTTCACAGGGATATCAAGAGTTCTTCACTCCACTGAGATAGATGGGTTCGCAAGCGACGGCGAAACCTACAACGTGGCTGTATCCAGCGGCAAGATCGTTTGTGTTGGAAGCTGCAATGCCCAGCTGGATAAAGCATCTATCTCTGACGGCGCGGTTATTCGTCTCAAGAATGGATATCTTGCACCATCACTGACTGCATTTGGTTCGACAATCGGGCTTAACGCCATTGACACCGAACGAGATACGGACAATGGTGTGGACGGAGGCGAGTTCAGCCGTGGTATTGATGGTCTCGCCCTTGATACCGAGAAGCTTCACGTCGCTCACCGCTACGGGGTGACTCGCGCCATCTCAGCCCCAAAGTTCTCCGACCTAGGAACACATCACGGCACAAGCGCGGCTTTTCTCACTGGTGCCAAAACTATCCTTGACCCAGGCTCCGTGCTTGCCCGAGACGCTGCGGTGCACTACACGCTGGATTCATCTGCTAAACGTGGCACCAACGGAGTTTCGTCCATGTCTGCTGCCGTTGGAGAGCTTCGTTACAAACTCCTCAAGGCCGCTACGTCTTTGGCTGCCGACGAGAAAATAGTTGTGGAGGATAGTTACTCGGAAGCTTCATTTCTTCGAAAGGTCGTGAAAGGCGAAATAGCACTCACCGTGACCGTTCACAGTGCGGACACAACTGCAGCCTTGTTGGACATCAAGAAAAGTGTTGAAGAAACAATCTCACGACTTACTAATAAAAGCGTCAAGCTCCGCTTTGTAGTCAACGGGGGCGCTGAGGCTCACCTAGTCGCAGATGCGTTAGCGGCTGCTGGTGTGGGTGTGGTGTTGGCGCCTATGCAGTCGTTCGCAGTATCATGGGACCAACGAAGAGCTCTTACAGGAGCACCTTTGACTAACGGCACGGCCATTGATGTGCTCACCCGTGCAGGAGTTATCACTGCTATTGGCTTGGAAGAAGATTGGATCGTCCGAGATCTTGCGCTACTTGCGGGCGTTGCGTACCGAAACAGCGAAGGACGTCTCACTGAAAGGGACGCCCTGGACCTCGCCAGCAGGAATATATACAGAATGCTTGGGTTGGAATATGATCTCGAGCAAGACCACTTCGTAATACACGAAGGAAGCCCTTTGGAGATTGGGTCAAGGGTCAGGGCGGTTAGTGACGGCACGGGTAAGCTGTCGGTCATGTAACTGCCATCTAATTAGTAATCCAATCCGATGTATAGTTTATTTTCCACTTTACTGATACGCGTACGAGGAGCTAAAATCTACGAACTCCTGCTAATTGATGCCATCAGAGTCTAAGCCAATAAAAAAATGTTGTACTGTCATATGGCTGATTGGCGTGGTACCCAACTCACACCAAATCAGCTTCTGGATAATGACATGTTGTCGCCCGCGTTTCGGTGGAAGCAGAGACTGCCTCCTCTTTTCTCTCCTCTAAATCTCCAGCAACAATCAGAGAGTGGTACCCGGAGTCTTTGTAAAGATCCACAAATGAACCTTCAAAGGCGGTGAGCTGATCCTTGGAGATGCGTGCAGCTGCCGTCCCTGTGGCTGATACAGAGCTAAGTGTACGAATAGTTCTTGCCTCCATCTGCTTTGTTTGGGTACTAGCATGGACCATTGTGCATCTTGACTTCCTCTCCAGTAACCATTTGCCTAGCTGTGAAAATAAATGGATTTCATAGCCAGGGAATACCAGATGAGTCTCTGGCAGGCGAGCTGAGTCAGTTATCAAAGGACAATAAGAGAGGTTGGAAAGAAACGTCTCACCACCGTCGAGTGCAAATGGTTGTCCAGCCAGCATCAAGATTTCCGCCGGCTTGCACCATTTTTCTCGAATTTCTGACTCCGACATCTTGATTCCCTTCTGTTTTTGTGCCCCTTGTGTCTTCTTCCAAGTCTCGTACTCGGTTATTGGTATTCCGGATATTGCTTCGTCCTCGACAACCTTGCCTTCAGGAGAATGCTTGCGTCTTATGTGTTCGCCAATGCCATTGCAAGGGTTCGCACATTGCATTCCCCTTTTAAGACTTTGGTGTTGCAAAGACCAACGCGAACAAGAAATGGCTCATGAGACACTTCCTGCAGTTTTGAATAGGTTTTGAATCCGTACCCGTGACATGACTCCACACGATGTTTATACTGGTCTGGGCGAAATTTGGAGAATGGATAGGCTAATGATTGTCGCTTCTCGCTTGGGTATTTGTAGTTAGTTTCCATTCGAAACCTCTGGAAGAGGTCGCCAAGAGTTGGCTCAGAGAATTCACTCTGATTCCCTATCGATGAATATAACATCCCCTTCGTGATGTCTTTCTCCAAAGTTTGGCGCTGACGTTTCGACATTCTTGATAAGGAAATGGCTGAAAGAGCTACTTGAGAGCTATTGGCATCAACTATTAATACAGAGCGTTGTGGCAGATGCTCTGTATTTCTTAGTACCCAGAGAATGGAACAACAGCTCTTAATCAATGTCCAACTCTTCGTACAAGCAAGCCTCTTCTTGGGGGAGGCGTTCAACGACGTTGGATGTATCTCTTAAAAAGAGTTCTAACATTGGTCGCGTAGCACAAACAACTTGACGGGAGACTCCCGGCTGAGGAAGGAGCCGAGTGGCGATTCTGGCCGTTGCCTGTTGTTTATAATGAGAGCTCATTAGTACCATTGGCATGCTTTATTACGCAAGAACCTGAGAAAAACAGCAGTTGGGATCCAGGCCATAGCTAGAAGCACATTACCTTTCGAAAACTATGCCTGTCATCACCATCAATACTAAGCGCGTCAACGAGTGTCTGGTAGAGGTGAGTATCGCTGGTATTTTGATGAAGAATAGACTTGTTTGACTGTGGCAGGCTAAGAACTATATGAACTTTCGCGTCCATAAAGAAAGTTAGAGCTAGCTAATATACGTGCTTGACCTAGTCGCAACTGCGTCGACCCCGAAATACGTCTAAGTCGCGTGACGGTCGCAGTTGCGTCAATGTTCCTGACCAATGCCCTGTCAGTTGCCACAGCACCCCATGCGTGGACCACCCCCATTCACTAACCCTCATGAAATTCATGTCGTCAACTCTTGTTTAGAGCTTCGTGAATGGACTGGTATGAGATGTATTTTATGTTTGGTCGACGAAGGAAATGTTTCGTACCTTATCCCAGAAGCCAAGGCTGTTTAGCACGGTTTCTTATAGCCTGTATAGTGCTGATAGGTCAGTTGTGCATCTGCTTTTCTGCATAATAGGTCCAGTCCCGGCCTCGACTTTCAATATGGGTAAAGTTTCCCCATAAATTCTGGTGTGAAAGGGCAAATGGTATTATTTCAAATGTCAAATGGAATCGCTGGCTGGTATCCTGTATAAACCAAACTTGGGTCAATATCTTTAGGTTCAAGTCAGTAATCATCAAAAAACAACAAGACAACTTGTCTATACTTACGAGAAGCTTTCCTTATAGAACCAAACCTCCCTTGCTCCACTTCTGCCTGCCAATATACGTTTTTGCGTCTCCGCAGCGACATGGCTTACGTCAAAAACCAGAGACGCAGGTCCGCAAGCCAGCATTCCTACAGTACCTTCTTTTTCTGTGATTTCTCTAGCCAGAGAAAGAATGTCAGGCCGTCCAACGATTCTACACAGACTAACAGACCCCGAGGCAGCTACCCAATCACTCGTGCTTTGTACATCTGGTTCTTTTGCCACCTCCTTGGTGCCTTCTTGCGTTGGCATGCCAGATTCAATAGAAGTCATATGATTGGTCGCAGAGCCTCCTGTTTCGTGGAAATGTACTGAAACTCCCGGGGATTTGGTTTCGTTGACAGTCTGCTGCCGTGCTACCATGGAGTCAAGAGCTTGACAGTACCACTCTCGAAATTCTGAATCGCGAGTGGTAATGATAACATTCAGTTCTTTGCCCGTTTCGTTAGTGATCTTGGATTGGAGGAAGTGCTCGATGATGGGAAGTGAAAATCCTGCCCCAGCGCCACCAGCTACTACGAGAGTTTGATCAAATCCCGAAAACCATCGACTGGTCACTCCACCGTATGGTCCATCCAGAAGCACCGGGATTGAAACCTCGGGGGACTTTTCCGCAATCTTCGCTAACCGACTGGTTATCCCACATCTCGGCTGGACGTAAAAGATCATCTCGCTTTTCTTACCACGTTGTGGTGTAGAACAGATGGTGAAGGGGTGTGAGGTCAACGCGTGGACACCGCCAGTCAAAAACCTAAGATAGACGTGCTGGCCTGGGGTCCACTTCGCGTTGGTTTCGATGATGACCATAAGACAGTGCGGCGTTACAAGAGACAGCCGGGCACGGTGGACTCCGTGCTCCAAGAATGTCTTGAACTGGGTGTAGAAGAAGCAGAGAGAATACAGAACGGCTGTGGCGATGAAGTAGTCCCATGACGTAAGTCGAAAGTCGCAGTGGAGGAAGAAGAAGATGAAAAAAATGGCCGCGGCAAAGAGATGGGTAGCTTTGAAGAGTTCGTAATTTTTGTCTCTATTGCCGATCTCTTGGTTAGCCAATGTTGACATGGGGATAAAGTTTTGGTTAGAAACACACCGAATCCAGCGGATGGACATGAACGTAAGCCAAGCTTGCGCCAGGATTGCAATGACACCCGTAACCCACACCCCTCCATCGTTCCATTGCATCATGATATCTCCTTTCCAGGTGTGGAACACAATGAACGGGAATGTGTGTACGAGAGCCAAAACAAACATTGCCCATGCAACCCAGTTATGCCAGATGTTGAGCTTTTCATGGGAAATTCCAGTGAGGGCGGAAATCGGATTCGCTTTTGCACCTAGGATGCTATTCGGATTTGTCAGATGCCGCTGAAGTCAACTCTCTGTTTGAACTGGTTCGCTTACAACAAGATTGGCATGCATGCAAGGGCCATGTATCCTGCACGAGTGGCAATGGGTGGTGAGTTTCCAAAGCTTATTTCCCGCGTGTTCGGCCAGTAATAAGGACGGGGGCCCAAAGTCATTGCTATGGTATCAAGTTAGGTCGGACTCTTGAGAGTTGATTTGCGGATTTCTTACCAAAGAAGAAAATGGCTCCTGCTGCGCCAAGCATGTAGGTTGCCAATGACTGACTATTCCAGAAACCGATTCGCCAACTTTTGTACGTAAATAAGCGGCCAAGAGACAGACATCGCAACCAGAGCGGTTTACGCTGCATTGACTCTGGTGCGTATGTTGTCGCAAAGCTCCCAATGATGGCCAGAAGAATAGCGGCAAGGAAGAAGGCGACCGTGGGCAACCCATACCGGTGGTCAGCCTCGTACCAAAAGACCCAATAACCGGTCTTGAAAGCGCACTGCTCGGGCGTCATCGAGCATTTACCGGCATCCCGGCTCGAGTGTAGCATGACAGGTTGGCTCAGCCATGGTAGAGACATTTTGGCGTCTAGTGGTTGTACAGGAATGACACTGTCGGGACTCAGTTGAGGAAAGAGACAGCAATGCGCCCTTAGATATGGGCAATTGCAAACAACATAGTTTCTCGGAAATACTTACCCACATATACGTACACATGATAAGGGTAACAGCATCTGGCTCAGTGCCAGTAGCAGCTCAGTCATTGCTCAGCCCGGAAACGTTATGCCGCGCTAATATTCATCGAAACAGCAATCACGTATGAGCTCGCGCGTCAATTGCGCCAACGAGTTTGGATATCCTACGCTGCAACTAGCAAGGTTTTGAGCACATTTGAGCAGATTAGAGACTCCCAGTGCTACGCACCACCCACGACTCTCCAGAACCCCAGCGGCAATGGCCACCTAAGCAGGGTATCAATAGGACTGACACCGAAAACAAACCTTCTCAATTGGCCAAGCTTTGTTGATTTGCAGATCTCCCACGTGGAGAAGGGAGTTAACTTGCGCGTTTCGGGACCCTCTTATCCCACATTGTTTCCGACGTCAGCGACGTCAGATGCCGTGATATCCGTCCCGAAGTAAGAAACTTGCTCATTTGGTATGTCGGTTTAATCGGGTCTCTGACATCCGTAGCCTCTTGTTGTAAAGCACTGACCTGTTAATTAAAACGCACCGCTCCCTTCCAGGTTGTGAGTCTTGTCAAAGGACCAAGACACGCACAAGAACCGCCCTCGAAAAGTCGAAAGCGAACACGAAAATAACATTAAGGCCACAGCTACAACATTTTCGTTTTCAAAGAGCCAGGAGAACCGATTGCTTTCTGTAACTGATCATCGGCCCGAGCAACATCGGACCGCATACCGCGAAAATGATGGATATGGGTCAAGCGACTACGACAGCCATGGCGATGGCAAGCTCGACCAGCACAGCTTCAGGAGATATGTCCAGCGATAGCATGTCCATGTCAATGGCTGATATGGCAATGACATTTTTCGAAGCTGTTCAAACCCCACTCTACTCAGACGCGTGGACGCCAGGCAATGCAAGTCAATACGCCGGCACCTGCATCTTCCTTATTATCCTCGCCTCGATTCTGCGCCTGCTTCTCGCCGTCAAGCCGATACTCGAGGAGCGCTTCTGGAGAAATCTACCCACCTACAACATCGGCAAAGACACAGAAAGCTCTCCTTACGCAGAAAGTGTTGAGCCTGGAAAAGCTGGTGTACTGGTTCGGAAAGATATCGTCGTAAGATGGAAGGGATGGCGAGTTGGTGCTGCAGCAGCAAGAGCCACGTACGAAGTCATTGTCGGAGGAATTGGTTATCTACTGTGAGCAAGCATTTTGCTAACTAAGCCATTGACACACTGACATTAAATAGGATGCTCGCTGTCATGACGATGAACGTCGGGTACTTCCTCTCTGTTCTGGGCGGCATATGGCTGGGAACCTTCTTCATTGGCGGCTTAGCCAGCAATAGCCCAGCTGGTCACTCATAGAAGACTCAAAAGAAGGCTGAGTCATCGAATGATTTTACCGTACTTCTGTCTAGTCTTTCTATTCCGTTAAAGCGGCCTCAGGCGTTGCCACAACATCTTAGCGGTAGCATCAAACCAGTCCCACCTCTCTGTTGTAGACTCTTTGCGCCCGTTCGTGATTCGTCTCATAACCCTCTTGAATAGTATTCAATCCATCATTCTCGTGATCGTCCACTTCAATCTGTGGCAAGAACCAATGATCGCCAGTATATGCCGTATCTTCAACGCTTTCGATCGACTCAACGCCCATGCGCCTGCCATTTTGCCCGCTAATAGTGCCATAAAAGTACCTCCTGCCCAACTCCTTTACTTTCTTCTCTCTTTCTTTAGAATTCAATTCTGATAATCCCTCAAAGTCCTCTAACATCCTGCTTTCGTTGATATAGTACATGGCACCAGCGATGCTGCGTGGGTCGACAGGCATATCGGGCCATTTGATGAAGAGACTCGCCACAAGAGTCGTCACCATAAGCGCCAGAATTGAGATACTAGTGACCGCACAGATGTTATGAGTAGGAAGTGTCTGCGTCAGATTGTAAGGGATATTGGTGAGAAGGATGGGAAGAAACTCCGCCAAGATTGCCATGAACGCCGCAAGCATGAGAACAGCATTGCCTTCAAGGATGGCAGCGTAGATACCATAAAAGCTGTTCGTCGGACGTGTGAGGAGGATCGATGACCCTGGCTGCTGCGATTGACGGTCCATGTGATAGTAAGGACTGATAATTGCGATGCCTAAGAGCATCGCAGGTTAGCAATGGCACTTGTGTTAGCCAAGGCAACATGTGGACCAACGTACTGACAAAAATAGATTCCCAGCAGAAAATAATGATTACTCCCAATGCCGAGAGAAAGAACCGAACTCCCCATGTTTGGCTGTCCGTAACCACTTTGAAGGAAGTTCGAACCTGGAGTGTAGTGTGGTAATACAGAACCAAAATGAACAGTGAAACGAGAAAAAAGATAAACCCCAGTCGCCACCAGTACGTGAGTGCGATGAAAGGGACAGACTTTCTAGCCTTCTTCGAAACATTGCGCTGAATCGTACCATCCAGCTCGTCATCAGCAAGTAATGCACTAGACGCAGCCGCCTGCAAATGCCGAGATGAATCGTCACAGAAGATGATGCCATATTCTTTCCTTCCCTGGCTGTTCTCGAAGTATCCAATCATGAAGGTCTTCTCAGCCACGACTGTTTTGCTAGCCTTGAAGTCAATCTGTTGAGATCGAACGCCAGGGTTCCTGGAGAGTGACGATATTCCTGCGATGCTCCATGGGTTTGCATGAAGGCCTGTCTCCCAACTGCGTAGAAAGTAGAGGAGGACAAGGAGAAGAAGAATAATGAACGCAAGTAACGCGACAAGCGCATGGGAAGACACCGTGGAGACGCCGAGCTGAATACCACAGCCTTCAATGGCGGTGACTTTGCACCTTCCGTGGAGCTTCATGCCGATCGCTTCAGTAGCCAAGGGAACCAGCATGGCCGATGACCATAGCATCAAAGTTGTGATGAAAGGAACCGGATGCCCCTGCATGAGAACCTCGAATGGTGTCAGAATGCCCTTCCAACCGTCGAATTGGAGATTGATACTGTTTTTTCCCAGCGAGCCCCCCTCCTGAGCCATCGCAAAGAATGGCTGGTATAGTTTCACGTTGAGATCGATGATCCGGAGTGGAATGGTAACCATTACGGCCAGAATTACTGGGAGAAACTTGCCGACAAAGTAATCTCCGTTAGTAAAGCCGAACCTTTCGATCTTGGTAACAACATTGTCTGCGAAGTCTGTAGACGTAGGCGTTGAGACCCAAGTGAACGTCGCTGTAGATGCCTTTATTGTTGAGAGACGTGTAATGGGCCGGGGCGTTGAGGTGATGGTGCTTAGCTTTCCAGGAATCGAAGTAACCAGAGTTATTGGCGTCGGAGTCGACACAATGGTGCTAACAGTCCCACCAATGGTTGATATGATGGTAAATGATAGAGGCATGGTGCCTGAGGGTGTGGTGACGACTTCAAATGTCGTTCGGGTACCTCCAATGACCGAAGTGAACTCTCTGGGGACCGGTGTCCGCACTATTGTTGTCTCCTTTCCGTCGATCATGGTCGTGACAGTCTCCGGCGGATCAGTGGTTGTAAAGATGCCAGTGCTGCCGCCGACTTGAGAAACCAGTGTAAGCGAGACTGGCTTAAATCCTGCTGTTGGAGTTGATTCAACCAACAAGACCGTTGCCTTGCCATCGATGGTAGTCTGAACTGCGACAAGAACTGGTTCAGGGGTGACAGGAATCTTTACCACGGTGGCCTTGCCTTCCATCGTCGTTGCCACCTCCTTGAAGATGCTTCCAGTGCCAAATGTCGATTCGGTCATCACGACTGTAGACTTTCCAGAGATAACAGTTGGGACGGCAACGAATGCTACGTTCAAGGAAGGTGTCACCACGATGACAATTTGCGTTTCTTGTCCGCCGTTTCTTGTTACGATTGTCTCTGGTGGAGGAGTGAACACCGCAGTAAATATATCCCCATCACTGGCTACAAGCCTCTGAGGTACACCCGTTTCAACCACTGTAACAACTTTTTGATCAAAAACACTGGTGACAACATGGGTGACTGGAGTCGGGTCGATATTTTGCTGTCCTCTGGAGCCTCCTCTGATGGTGGACACTAGGGTTATCTCTGTGGTTCCAACTGACACGTACACCACGCTTGGCCCTGTCGATGTAGCCACAGTGGCGATGGTTGTTTGCACGGCAGTGACACCGGTGGAGGTAAAGAAGCCTGTGGATGCCGGGGTATCGTTATTGTCGTCTCCATTCCCCGTGGGCTCCGGGTATTCAGTCGTGGTTTCGACAGTGATTCCTGGAGTGACCATCACGGCTGAAGTCACCACCTGGGTCTCCGTCTGAGTGGTCGTTATGGACGAGGTTTTTGGACCCTCGCCGGTTGCAATAACTCGAGTTGTGGTCACAGGTATTGTCATAGTGGTCATGAAGCTGGTACCTGGTTGCATTCTTGTTGTCGTCCTGGTAATGGCAGTTGCGGTGACTGTGGTGAACGTACCCATGCCGGTCCTGCCAGGGAAAGTTGTTGGGATAACGGTCGTGAAGGTGGAAGAGATAAAAGTTGTATAATGAGTGCTATATGTGAATGTGGACCCATTTCTCGTCATCGTTGATGTGAACGTAGATGTAGTAATAGAGGTGATCTCATCGATGTCTGTGGGCTTCTGCATTGAGCTCATAGAAATAGAGAGCGAGGTCAAAGGTGACGAGGTCGAGGTTGTAAACAATGGGACTCTAGTCGAAGGCGCTTTGCGCTGGTCTGCCATGTCCGTGGAGGAAATCAAACCACTACTCCCTCCGGAATAGGACGACAAGAATGATAAGGAATACTTCGTTTTTCCCATTCTGTCTGGCTCTGGAGGTGTTATAACTGACTGGGTCGAAGCCTCAGAGCTACGACTGACAGTTGAGGATGGGTTTTCTTCTCCCTCTATAGATGAGATGGACAGTAAAGTCTGGGTTGTTGGCTTATCACTTGTTGCTGAGTTATCATTAACAGAGTGACTCGCCGTCGGACTACCTGCTGCATTGCTTTCGGGTCCTGTGAGAATGCTAGCTGCCGACACTTTTTCTTCTACCTTGCTCGAAGCTGACTGCAAAGAAGAGACTGTATCCAAACCGGAGATTGAGTCAATTTTGGGCGAAGTTTGCTCTGGTACAGTGACCGCGGTCGGGGTTTGTGTCGAGACATCGGTATTGCTAGATGAAATGATTGCCGAAAATGGCGTGTTCGACACGGCGACGGAGTTCAAGGACGATGAAACTTGCGGCGTGCTGACTTGAGATAACGATGACTTTGGGGGCTCCTCTTGCTCGGATGTTGCCGGGAGTTTGACGCTGTCAGATGGAGCATTTTTTGGCATTGGCGTTGGCGTAACCAGTTCGACAAGGGAGCTCAAAGATGAGGGTGTCTGGAGTGTGTTGAGTTGAGCTTCTAACGGCGTCGTTTCTGGTATTGGAGACGGTAACGGCTGTTGTTCAGTAGAGCTTGGCTTTTGTCGTGGTTGTAAAATGCGACGAGGTTCGATGGTTGCCGTGCTGTCGGAGTTGGGCATTGTCTCACGGGCACACACCACCAAGGCCATCAACACCGAGAGCACCAGTATCATGCAGACAATGAAGGGCCATTGCAGCGGTTTTGGCCGGTAGTTGGGCCTCTTTGGAATCGGCAAAGGCTGTTTCTCCTCTGGTTCATTGTGTTCTTCCTCAATGTCATCCGTGGCCTGCAAGTTGTACTGTACTCGGGACTCAAAGGTTGCTTGGTCGGCAGGTGGCGGTTGGTGCATCTTTTCTGCGAATTTGAATCAAGGCATGCCCAGAACTGGTCCCAAAGCCGTGTTTTCACCGATGGTTCATCAGTGTAGCCAAGAAGATCGACAAGTCAGGCACGGATTCTTCGGAAATCGCCATGGTCAGGGAGATGTTCACCTTTTGAGCCACAGGTACCAAACACCTCCTGCGCGCACATGCGCCCCCTACTTTGGGGCCGCAGTGTCATTGAGACACCAGATGAGTAGCCAAAGAAAAACTGGAGGCTTCGCATCTAGACTGTAGCTGGTTCGCCGTTTTCCGCCAGTCCAGCCCCGATAGCTGTCAGGGAGGCTGCTTGACCTCTCCCGGGCCAGGTCTCTTGTATTTTGTCGAGGGAAACGAGGACCAATGGGCGCGACTAGTGCTCTTGGTGGCGTTATTGGCTCTCAGCTGAGGTACGCCATCTCGGAAAACTAGTCGCGATGCGCACTAGTCAATCAAAAGCCAGGAGGGCTGAGCCAAGGCACCTCTAGCGCAGAAGGTTAATTTACCTTGCTTTCATTAGGTCTAGCTGCTGTCATAACATGTAGTCTTTCGTTATACCAAACTTCTCAGTGACCTCAGCCTTTGCAACCCAAGCTGCGATTCTCTAATGACTAGTACTAATGATATTTCAGACCAAAAAAGGAGAGTGGATGATTGAGTCCTCAAGTCGATTGGTGGACCGGGGCTGTGGTAAGCTTGGAGATGGTGTGCTCGGGAGTTGGGCTCAAATGCCGGCGCTCGGGCAGGGCGTCACCAGGAGTGAACGACCGGGGGCTGGATTGGATTGGTTGCACCGCCCCGAAGTAGGGCTGAAGTCGGGGATGCTCTAGGACGGGTTAGTGAGTCATGGCCAGATAGACCATCACCGCGGCGCCGGAAAGCCTTATGTTTCACATTTGCAGGCGGTCTACACCAATTAAGATCTGTAGGAGCAAACTTGTGCTAACCCTTGCATCAAGGCAATGCCTATGCTGAAGTTGCTCAGCAGAGCCTCCAGTGTCGTGGCTGCGGTCCTGAAGCCTCTGAAAAGCTGTGGTCAATTGATATGATGGGGCAGATAGACAACATTTCCATTTCGAGTCCATTTCTAGCGCTGGATGTGTACCTCGGTCGTCCTCATGATGCCTCTACCCTCCCCAAACTTGGGGTCCGTGTCCAAAATCATTTCCTCGCTTCCTGACCTATCGCCAAAACTGTCTTTCTTCTGGTACACCGCCACGGCTGCCGCATGATTTCCTGCTTTGATACTGGTCCGGTAATACTCCGCGCTCTGCGAAAACGCCTGTTCTTCAAGTTCAAATTCAGGCGCTCCCTGGCTTCCTTGTTCCCTGTAGCCTTGTCTCTTTGCAGTCGCCGTGATATTTACGGTTCGGCCGGTTCGACCAGTCGGGTAACGGTTCTCGTACAGGTTATCGCTGTTGTAATGGCGACTCGAACTTATTTTTAGAGCTCGACCAACGAGTGGCTTTAACGCTGGTGCGCAGGCGGCAATGATGCCAAGGTTCAGTTGGAGGCTGTGAGTCGGGGACGTTAGCTTACGCCATTGTAATGAAGCATTGAAACAGAGAGTACTTACAACCCCCAGAACTGGATACTTTGGAGACTATAGGTTTATGGTCATTAGCGTTTATCATGCCGCATGTCCTTGGACAACTCACAAAGTTCCATCTTTGTTGCTTGGCTGAGCAATCTGGTAAATAGACTTGATGATTCCCATGATAACGGCTCTGAAAGTTCATTAGCATAGTAGTCCCAAAGGGACTTGTAAACTCACAAGTAGCCAAGGCTTAAAACGCCAATCAGGTAGATTCGGGTCCGGAGCTTCATCTGTAAAACCCAAATAATGGGGATAGGTAGTGTGGCGAAACAAACATCAGTGAAGATGTTGAAAGCTACTCAGGTTAGACCTCGGCGCAGGAGGATGCAAAACCACAGCTTGGTACCTACCAGTGTTAATAAGAGCAAAGTTTACAAACAGCTTGATGTTGTAACACGTAGGCTTGAGACTTTTATTCCAGTAGCCCTGTAACGGGGTGCAGTACAGGAAAAAGCTCAACCAAGCCATGGTTGTATAAAGAACAACAAGAACTAGGCGGTTGTCAGCGAAGCCTCCCAAAAGATGACGTATGCCGTTCCCAAGTCAACCGACTTACCGATCAACGCCCATAGAGCCCGGGAATACCATCGGTTCTTGCTTAGTCGAAGCAACGATAGTGCGATCGATATCTTAAGGAAGGCTAATGCAGCGATCGCCGAAATGATGGATTGGAAAAATCCGACCTTCGTAAAAAAGACTTGATCCGGCTTGCTGATGGTGTCCTTGTGTCTGCCAAGTCCGTAGAATCCTTGAATAACGAATATGACCATCCCTCCACCAAGAGCACACAGCTTGTAAAGTCAGCATCGGTCTAATGCTTTGACCTGTTGAAGAAGCCATACCGCAGACAGGATCATCATGTAGTCGTCGAACCCAATCGTCTTAACGATGATGGCGCGTGTGTATGTGCGGAGTGCGACAAAGAGAAGAGCGAGTGCGTGGAAAGTACCCGTCACGGCCAGGATCATCGCAGTGTTGCTCTCCTTGGCACGCTCCAGGTCGACAGTCGTTGTCGAAGACATGGCAGCGGCGACAACGCATGCAGCGTTGACAACGCACGTACGGGGAAGCAAGATCGAAGAAAAGCCACGGGATTCTCGAGGGTGGGCACTACGGACAGTGAAGGGATCTGCGCAATCTTTTAATCATTTTGGGGCTGTTTCCGTACCATGGATAAGAGACAGGTGAAGCTGCAGAAAATGGACCGGGCGAGTCCTCAGACACCACACCACAAGAACCGAGCACGTACGGGGGCTGTTGAGGGGAAAGGAAGATCACAAAATGGGTATAACTAGGAAAGCATCATTGGATGACAGGCATAAATAGGGAACTCATCATGGTTGATCCAGTCTACCTTAAGAAGGTGCGACATTTTTCTTCTAGACTGTGTTCCAATGCAGGGAACAAGATCCTTCCTAGCGCCGCGATTCCCTGGGAGTTTCGTACACTAAAGAGAGAGACTACTGTAGTTACCATGGTGTGATCTCGAAAGCTTGTACCGGACTTCTCCTTGTAGAAAGTGGAGCGCTTTGATGAAAGTGCTGCAGCACCTGCTGTGATGAATGAAGAGGTGTGGACTAATTTGAGACGAGCTGATGGATGCCACAGAGAAGTCTCCCACATTACGTGACACACCGTTCCAGTACTTACCGCCAAGTGCCGTCAAGGATAGCAACTGTTTGTCATTCAATGGGCTGCAGGAACTCGTGCTTTCTTTCAGTCGTCCCGATGATGGAGACTGAAATGTCCCCCCAAGAGTATGAAGATTTACTTAGGCACTCCGGTACACTGTCTGCTTATGCCACGGATCATGGTGTACCGCCTGATGTGACAATTTGGATTATTTAGTTCCGATCCAGTGGCAACTCATCAAAGCCTTCCTAGGCATCTCCTTGGACCCGAGGACACGGTGAACCTTAGCGGATTCAGAGCTCGGCATGCAAACCGAATGGGGAATCCTCAGCGGGGTTGCATGATCGACAAAGCAGGAAGAGAGCGTTACATGTAGTGTAAAAACCAGTTGGTGTCGCCGGCGTCGGGTGATCATTTGTTACCTTCCTGGTTAATTACAGAGAAGTCTGCCATTCGGAAGAAATGGATAGAGTAAGGGTGGGGTAGTGGAAACATGCTACGGTAAGCGAGAACTGAACCAGGACTGGTTGGTCACTCCCGAGGTTGAGGTGGACTCCGTGGAGCCGGACTGTGACCGATATATTCAACATTGTCTGCTAACATTGCTCGATGTTGGGACGAACTTTGCGTTGGTCTTATGCTAGGTATTTCGACTTTTGAGCTTATAAAGCGCGAACAGATGGCCCAGTGAATAAGGAAGATGGCTATCTGAGACAACTCGCCCAAGACGCTTATCTTTCAACCAGATTGCAAGGAACTCTACCTCCTGGTTGCCCGTCTTCCCCCGATGCAAGCTGCCGTTTAATATCCGCTACCTCGATGATGTGGCGACGGGACGCATTCCTTGCCGATTCCCCATCTTGCGCGCTTGGCCCGAGCGGGTTACATTCCCTTTTGATCTATCCCGGCAATCATGGGTCCCAGATCTAGTCTATCGAATTTCACTCCCCTATCTGCCGCATGAGACCGTTCGATTCCCGACCCTTTTCAAATTTGCCCCCATTCCTCGTCCTCATCAACGGGGTTTTCCGCCACGAGCGCCACATTTCCACAAGTTCTCCCACCCAGTGCGGTTACTACCTCCGCGCCGCATTCCGCAGCCCTGTAGGTGATGCCCAGGGCCACTAGTCTAGGCAATGGATGTTTTAATATATTCCCAACGTCTGACAGGCATCTGTCTATATAGCCAACAAGACTTGCCTGCAACCTGTCCTCCGCTGATGATCTCGGATCGCCCTGTCTGCTCAAATTTTCCACTCGAGCTTTCGCGCCTCGGCTCCTGTACCAGTCCTCTTCGACTGCGGATGTACTCGGAGCAACATACCACCCGGACTCCCATGGTCACTTGCGCGAATACCCTGCATTCTGCTCGTTTCCCCTAAACAATCACAGAACCGCTAGCAATGTATTCCGCCACCATTGTAGCTGCGGCCGTTGGCCTGCTGAGTGCGACGGTGGTCGCATCACCTGCCGAGACTCACGATATCCTCGCGGACCTCCAGGACCGTGCCATGGCTGCTCTCGCTGATTCAAGTGCTGGCAACAAGCGCAGTAGCTGCAACATCTTCAACGCTCGCTACCGCCGGGATTGGTTCGTACCGTGCCGTGCTGATCACGAGTACCTGGCAATACAAGTTGGAAGCTAACAGGACGGGCTCTCTAGGGAATCTTTCTCGTCCGAAGAGAAGAAAAATTACATAAATGCCGTCCAGTGCATGTTGACGTCGCCATCGAAGTCCGATCCCGAGTTCGCCCCCGGTGCCCGCAACCGATATGACGACTTTGTCGCTGTGCACATTAACCAGACCACCCAAATTCATGGAACTGTGAGTCGTGCTTCAGTGATCGCATTACACGTGGCGAACCTAACATCGTTACCCAGGGCAACTTTTTGACGTGGCATCGCTACTTTGTCTGGGCCTACGAGGAGGCTTTGCGGAATGAATGTGGCTACAAGGGCGCCCAGCCAGTGAGTGGATTCCGTGACTAGCTGCGGAAGATCTTTAGAACGGGTCTAACCGCCATACCACAGTACTGGAACTGGTTAAAGAACCAGGACGATCTCACTAAATCCTCTGTCTTCGATGGAAGTGACACCAGCCTGAGTGGCGACGGTACCTACCTCAAGCACAATGGTAGTGTCAGTGGTGCCGGCGCCATCTTTTTGCCCTCAGGCAAAGGTGGAGGTTGCGTCTCAACCGGCCCTTTCAAGAAGTAAGCTTGCGATTTCTTCATTTTCAGGGGCCAAGCTCACACTGCTAACAATCAAAAAGCATGACTGTCAACCTAGGACCCATTAACCCTGGCATGGATGGCCTCAAGGCCAACCCGAACGGCAAGCTTAGCTACAACCCTCGTTGCCTCAGCCGTGATCTGAGTAGCTATACCGCAAAGACCTGGTTCACCAACGAGAACATGATCAACATCACCGTTGGCGCAGCTTCCCAAAACATTGAGCTCTTCCAGAACGAGCTTCAGGGCCGCTTCGCGGACGGATTCCTCGGCATGCACGCTGCCGGCCATTTCACGGTAAATGGAGAGGCCAGCGACCTTTACTCCTCTGTCGTTGATCCCACCTTCTTCCTGCACCATGCCATGGTTGACCGTGTGTACTGGTTGTGGCAGGCGCTTCACCTGTGGAACGCCTTTGAAATTGCCGGCACCATCACCATTAACAACAGGCCCGCCAGTCGAGATGCCCTCAAGAGTGACATCCTTAACCTTGGTGTCAACGCCGAGAACCGAACCATCGATGATGTGTTGAACACCATTGGCGGCTCCCCTCTTTGTTATGTCTATGCATAATGGTACGATCTATCAATCAATCGAAACTATTCAAGATGATTAAGCGTAGCGCTGTAATGACTGGTGGAAACATTGACCCGGTAGGCATATTTGTAGCTGAGTTCTTGTATATAATACCCTTTTTGTGTGCATTTGTTGCGTCGGTGGACGAAACACTGTGGAATCCAGCACTAATTCCAGCATTCAACTCTCACTTGTTAGGTTTCAATGAAGCGATACAATCAATGAACATAGATGATTAATCGTTACAAGGCAGAGGAATCAACTGAGGTTTCCGATACTGTGACTTGTACCTAGTTTCTTAGTGCTAATAGATATTATGCTATGCATGAATTTGAGTTTATGAATCAATTATCAAGGAGAGTGTAGATAAGACAAGCCCTCAAGACCCCCGCACAATCTATTAAACAGAGAATTGACCGGCATCACGATGGAATCGAGATCACATACTCTCGATAGCTCAACCGTCTAACTCTGTCAGTAGAGCATGAGACTCTTCATTTGAAAATTGTAGGTACGCCCCGTAAGCATTCGTCTCAATTTAGCTTCTGTCTGGAACTGGAAGAACTCTCTACAGTCACGTCGGGCTAAAATTCTGTCCGCGAATAACATGGTTGGGTTGTATTTCCTTCATTATCCAGATTCTCACCTTGGCGCTTGTGCTTTTGGTAATGGTACATCTTCTGGGGCATGTTCGTTTTCCATCAGGGCCATGACCATAGATCCCTCTAGATTACCTCGATATGTGATGCTGCTAAGTGTCTCTTTGAAATGTTGACGATCATTCTCCGTGATACGTGCTAACCATCTTAGTTCTCGTATTGGCGAAGTAAAGGGTCCTTCAAAAGTCGATTCATGGCACCACGCTCCATACAAACACTGACATCGAAGCCATCCGTGTCTGCAAAGTCCATGAATTGAACCAGGCCATCGATCCTCGGCATTACACCCTGGACATATCTAGCCAGATCTTGTGATCCCAAGAAATCAAGCTCATAAGTCTTGGCTCTAACCCAAGAAGTAACAAGAGTGTGATGAGTTCCCAGAAAGCCTTGCCATAGACGCTGAGGACTGACCTCGTGTGCAGCATCATGGACGTAAGCAGCCACGGCATCGGGCGTAAACTGCAACATCATCTGTCTGATGGCACCTGCGATAGGACCTAGTTCCTGCGAGGTCGCATCATCGGCGGTCTTCTCAACATATCCTATGAGGAGCGGAGATCCAATAAAAGTGTCGGGAAGAGACGGAATAATGCGGTTTCGGAGGCCCAGAGTGATGTCCATATATACGCTCTCTGTTTTTCCCTGATGGCCACGAGCGCGGTTCATCAGAGTCCAGACATGCGCCAATGTAGCATCAATTCTGGAGACGCGGAGAAATTTAAGATTGTCAGGTAGACTTGCCTCAGCGGCCTTCTTCATGCGTGTCAACTCGTCAGCCGTGAAGTAAATCTGCACGTGGTCAACTGAAGCGCCCATATCCCACGTGGGCCAGGGTGGGAACGTAGACGGGCTAAGTTTTGTCACGTCCAGCTCGTCTGGTGCTGGCATGGTCGCCAGCGAATTGGGCTTCACAGCTGCAGGATATCCCGGTGCATCTTCCGCCCACCAGTCGAAACGGTGCATGGGTAGTGATCGAGCTTTTGCAACCAGTTCCGAGTCAGGAAGACTTCCGGGATGCAGCCCGGCAACATGGTCCAGCTGGGCCGGGTTGAAAATCGGCTTGAGGAGTTCGAGGTTGCCCAACTTGGAGTCGCTACGCAAAATGATTCTTGATCGCCCCGCCCATGCGTGCATGAAGTTCATCAAAGCGACAGCGTCCGCAAGGGGGTGCGAAATCTTCGCGCTAATGCCGAAACCTCCACATTTGAATTTCGTAAGCTGGATGGCCATAACTGGCAACCTTTCAATGGCATTCAAAGACATGAGGGCAATTTTCGTAGGCGGCAAGAACTCGGTTTGCCGAAACCTTGAGGCGTTCCACTCTTTCAATTGCGTTGCCCTTTGCTCTCGGCTAGGGACAACTTCGTCGAGGCTCATATCGTAGTTGACAATGACAATCTCAACTCCAGGATCATTTAATGTGCCATGGACTACCACAGGTCGACCGAGGTGCCGTGGAACAATGTCATCTTTGACCAAATGTTGAGTGGCCCAATGAATTTCGCCGGCGAAGTGAGGATAATCATTCAGCGTTTGACTAAGTTCGTGTCTCATTACGTCAAAGAGTTCAGGATGCAAGAATGCTCCATCCCTCGGCTTGTCGTAGAGCCATATTCCTGCCGTGGGGGCGAAACGAGCGACGGTTGCATCGATTATTGACAACTTGGAGGTGATGGGCACAGTCGATGGTTTTTCGGGAAATATTCTTTGAGTAGTTTCGACATGATGAACAGTCGGAACACCTGCAGCTGCGTTTCGCGTCATTTCGTTTGTTGGCTTCGTCCCCAGCAGTGGTATGTAAGGAAGTATGGACGGTTGGAATCAGAATCTCTAGGCTCTCCGCAACTTGGCAAAATGTTCCAAGAAACGAACATGATTTAACTTTATCATCACTGCAGCCGCACAGACACTGGAACCGTGAAACGCCAAGGATACCTGGCCAGCGGGATAAACCAGTCACTCGGCCCCGTTATGAATCATCTTGCATCATCCCCTGAAAGGACTAGCTCGTCATCGTTGATTGGACGTTGGGTCTGAAATGGGGTACGGGAGGGCCCGGATCCTGGGTAACGGTACTGCTACATGACCAATGAACTATCTTGACATTCTGATAAGCCCCTATGTCAGGTCAGTGATTCCCCTTCGTGGAATAAAACAAAGCAGATGGAATTACCTCGCGTGGAGCTGATTCTCCCATTTCGATGAAAACAAGGCTCACTGAAAGAGTCATGATGATTGTTATGTTGCAATATCTATTACATTACCAACGATGTCAGGACGCGTCCATGCGGAGGGTGGAGGTAATTGGCGTTCGCTTTGTAGAGTAGTGCTTCCCCCAGCTCTCGTGCGCTGTCAATAAATGTCTGAACAAATTTCATGAATGCACCAACCCATTTCAGGGCCACATTACGTATCTAGTCAACGTGCAGTCGTAGCTGGCGAAAGAGACTGAAACGTTATACGATGGAATGGTGTTGTGTCTCTTAAGACGCCACTTCATCCCATTTTTAGCCATGCATGCAGATACAGTAAGTGGGATGAACGGCGTAAAGATCTTTGGGTAAGGGCTCGAATTTTTATCGGTTCAGTCAGGATCTTAACTGAGAGAATACGTCGTATGTAAGAAAGATGGATGCCTGACTTCGTACACCTCTACTTTGAAGCCTACTGATCATTGTGACCAACACCACGAAGGATTGAGGATGCAGGCGCCGGGACTGGTCATCATGCATATGTGAGAGGCACGGATCAGCTCTCTGTGTTCAGCATGGGGCAAAAATAACCCAAGAGTAGGAATAAGCACAGCGTAACTAGTGTAAGGAGTTGCAGCGATCTAGCGAGATGAGCCAATAACAATGCTCAAAATCTGACCACCGTGCAGCGAGTCGACCTAAAGCCATTTCATTGGGTCTACTCCTTGATGATAACCAAGTTCCAAAATGACATGTGCGGCGGAAGAAACTCCCTCATCTCAGTTTCCACTCACCCAATAGTAGGACGACAATCTTGAACCTGATATGACGTCGAGAAGAGAAACAGTTCGTGTTATAGTGGGACATGTTAAACAAGCCGTTAGTCTCACGCCGGTCTCATCTTCTTTGCAATCCAAGAACTTAGAACTCGATATGGAGGGCAATGAGGGACCGTCAGACAAGCGCGGGCCAGGACCATCGCTGAAGAGCAGGGTAAAAGGCTCACAGGGTATGCAGCCAATGAGAGTCGTCTATCAAAGCATCGCGGCTGCGCCAAATAAAGCCATCCGGGTGATGGGTGAAATACAGAATTCCCCCAACATCCGTGTTGTCCCATTCGTTGGACCGGTTAAAGATTGCCGAACGCAGCAGCTGTGTCCCTTCGAAAAGGGGGCTTGGTGCGTGATGGTGTCTGCCCAATCTGGTTGGTAAAATACCATCCTTTCTGTCTTCCTGTGCCAGACATATGCAGATAGGTTAGATAATTGGTGACTACGAGTGCTTATGGGTGACTACTAAGTATGCATGTGCGAGGGTAGAAGCGCCACCACGCGCCGGATAATGCAACCCTACCTCTAACTAATTTTACATGACGTGTCAATAGTTACATCCTGTTGTCCTGCCAGGCTTATGCCAACTCAAGTCCTAACGCTACCTCCCGATGCACAGTTGCGGAAGTGATCCCTTTTGCTCAAGACACGGCTGTGTTAATCCGGGGGCCATAGGCTTAGTCGATGCCCACAAAACAAACTCACTTTTACGGGGCGGGAACGTCCAGGTGGTCAGCAGTAGAGAACTACTGATGCAGCAAACTTGGCTTGCAGCAGTTCATCCGGAACAGGAAATCACTGTATGCATCTATTTAGGACCGAACCGTGTCAACCAATGTCATTCAACACTGCCGCTCCCGCGCATCCGGCCGAATCTCGCAATGTCGGTACGCTTTCCCAGGGCATTGCCAGCCTTGTCGCACCAGTGCACCAACGCGACACGACTGTCGGAGCCCTTCCATTGCTGCTACCTTCGATCCTTGGAGAGGGAGTGGTCTTGTCGTGCGGTAGCGAGCTGGGGTCGCGGATCAGCTGCTGCGCTCTCCAATAATGATCTTTCATGCAAGTTGCATGTTCCCAGCCACATGCAGTCTGCACAACGAGACCATCCCGCACTCTTTGCTATTGGGAAACCCACTTCATACATCCCTCATAGGGCTGATGCTGTGCGATATGCAGGGTGGGCGCGTGTGGGTAGTGCCCGTGAGTTAGCACTGCCTTGGTGCTGGGCACATGAAAGAGGTTGGGTGGGAACTTGAGACTATTCATATCTCTAAACCTTCTGAGCCTCACAATATCCTGAGAAATATATAACAACAAGACTGATATCATTATGTTCGATTTTCCAAAACATCCAGCATAGCACCAATTTCTACATCGTCCAATCCTAGTTGTCTTTCTTGTATTTCACTGTCTGAGTTGGACGGTATCTTTCTAGGGTTTCTTTTATTTGCTTGGTGTCTTTTCCTATCTTGAACTCTATTTTAGTTTCATCCGTCGATCTCATCAGATTACTCAAGATGCCTAAAGTCACTGCCATCCGTAACGGCTCAAGCTCGCCCCCCGCAATGCCTACACCGAGTCTCAGTCACCGAACATCGTTTCCTTTATCATCAATCGAATTCGATCATATCCAGTTCCCCCAGTCATGGGAAATGGCTTGGGAGGCTGCAGGTCAGACCAACTTCGAGCGTGCCCAGGCATTTCTCTTCTTCTACCGCGGCAGCGATGCCGCCGTCAATAGCGAACTCCGATCTATCGCTTCGAACCCCACATACAAAGATGTAGCTTCATTAGCTGCTGCGGTTGGGAAGCGCGTCTTTGGCAACCGTCACACCAGCTTCAACACCAACCCGCTTTTGCAATGGTTGCGTTTCATGCTCATCAAGAGCCATGCACTCGCTTCCACCAAGACTAAGCCTGTCCGAGACTTCTTCTTCGACCCATCCATTTCCCGTAACTTGCCTCAACTCCCCGAAAACCCTGTCACATACCAATACCCCACTGCACCTCTCAAGGTCATAATTGTTGGTGGGGGACCTACAGGCCTCGCATCTGCGATCGCCCTGGCCGAGAAGGCCGGAACAAGAGTCGAGGTCCACGTTTACGAGGGCCGCTGGGTTCAGCAACCAGGCTCTTCTTTCGTTGGCTATCCTCCCAAAGCTCGCCGTCGCGACCAGGTTGTCACACTCCAGGACTCCGTCACCGACCTCATGAGCGACAGGACAAGACAGGCCGTCTTTGGCGAATGCCCCGAGCGTGTTTGGCCTGGCTCTAGCAACCTGCAGATTCGCAAGCTCGAAGATGGCCTCCTGAGACGTGCACAAGATAGCCAGTTCCGCGATCTTATCTTCTTGCATGCGATTCAGGTAAAGAGAGAGAACCTGGCAGAGTACGGCGACTTCCACCTCATGCTCGGTGCTGATGGTGCCGGCTCTTGGTTGCGCGTCGCATATTTTCAGGGACAGGAGGAAGAGGTTGGCAAGAGTTATGCTCTTGGAGTCGCTTTCGACAGACCTCGAGGACTCCCTTTCTCGCAGCCTATCAACATCTTTCTTACCATGGGCCAAACTCGTTACCTACTCAATGCTAGCGATTTTGATGGAACTGGATATCTTAATATGCAATTGACCGAAAATGAGTGGCACCAGATGATTTCAGTGGATGGCTACCCTTGCACGTTCGGCCGGCCAAGCTGTCTTAAGATTAATGGTCGTCTCCTCAATGGATACCAAGAAAACCAAGTTTTTGCTCCTTCTCAGCAACCTGATAGTCCTCTCTGGAAGGCTATCCTCGATGGCCTCGAGCTGTACGGTTTCAAGCAATGCGAAGTCACCAATATTGTCCGCATTCCCATTGTGGTCCGCCGAATTAACAAAGCGATTGAGCGACTTCCCCAAGGCGACTCTTCTGCACTTCGGCGACCTCACGGCATCGTCGCTCTGGCGGGCGATGCTGCAATGACTGTCCACTTTTGGCCTGGCCGCGGTGCAAACTCTGGTATGAAGGCTGGTATTGCTTGGGCCGATGAAGTTGTCCGCGCGCTCATGCACAGCCAGTTTGTCGGGCTTGAGCCCAGATCTCTAGAGATGTACCACGACTTTCTGCAAAAGCTTCAGGAGCGTGAGCACGGCGGTCGCAGTTTACCCATTGTAAAGCAGACTGGCGACCCCAACATGATGGCCTGGCTAATGCGCAACGCACGCCTCATTCCACAGCACGTTGCTATGGAATGGCTTGTTGGACAGATGCGTCGCGATGGCATCCGGATTCAGAAGCGTGCGGACTGGGCTTTCGAGCAGGTTGCCAATTTAGAGACGCAACTGCGAGAAATCTTGAAAAAGATGGATCCTGTCACTCTCCAGGAGATGGCTGCCACATTCCCGTGGCCAACGAGAGAGATGGCTGGAGCGGAGGTACTGCCGGAGAGGTCCGTCGTGGATGCTTGCTTGAAACAAGGTGATAGCAGGCAAAAAGACCTTCCCAAGCTTGAGAAGCAAGCAAAGACAAAGAAAAAAGACAAGAAAAGGAGGAGCGCGGAGACCTCATTGTCTGGTGAAGAGATATCCCCGGCTTTCCTGGCTAGCCTCGCCGCTGCTGTAAAGCCAACGTCCCAGCGAGCATCCTGGCGTTCTTTCAGCTTCGGTAGGCCGACCCAGACGGTCCGATAATAGCGAAAAGCCCCACGATCACGGCATTTGTAACGGAAAGTACGGATAAAAACACAGGTTGAAAGGCCTTTGATGGCGTTCTGGCGTTGGCGGGTAATTTTATCTTTAGGACTTTGACTGGTGGTACGGGAGCCATTAGATGTTCATCAGATTACTTAGGGAATCATCACATGTCAATAGCACTGGGAAGGAGGCGTCTTTCAGATAGCTGACTTGTAAATGAATCGAGTTTGTGTTTACGATTGTGGTAATCGGCATTTGCAACAGGATAAATAAGCAAATCGTCAAAGTTAGGCCCGATGGTGTCGAGTAGTTGCGGAAGAAAGAGACAAAAGACAAATGATCCTTTCCCAAAAATGAGTCAAATACTAAGATCAAGAGCCACAACACATTAAGAAATAATCTTCTTATCAATGTTGTGTAACTCCAAAGGAAACTTGTGCCGGCAACTCGCTCCGTTGCAATCTTCTCGAGGGCATTGATGTCCAGACACACAATTGGGATCGTTACAGCCTAGGCCAGAATGGCAGTGCGACTGACGGGCAACAGCACGAAGAGCCTGCAGTTCCTTGTGGCCCAGCGATGGTCCGTGTTCGTGAGAACACCTCCCCAACACCTCTTTGTGGGGACATCGGCCGGTGAGATGGAAGCTGTTGCACATCTTCCGGTTTTTCACAATGGTAAAATCCTGCTGCGTGTAACTGAGTGGGGAATCAATACGCTGGCCGACCTTGTTCCGGTACACCCCTCGGACAGGAAATGCCATGGAGTTAACCGAGCCATCAGGCCGAGGTATGCCATTTCCTATTGGTGATATGGCAGGCTTCGCAGCTGCCGATGCGTAATTTGGCGACGGGGTCGGAGGAGGTGTCACGTATTCCGATGCTTTGCGCTTGAAGTTGACGAGCTTTTGTCGTCGGAAGACTCTGTCGAAGGAAAAGATACGAAATCGATCTCTGATATCGGCCAATTCTTTCGCAAAAGGGGGTCCTTCGATCAGAATAACCCTTTCCCGAATTCCATCGGTCTCGAGATGAGCCCCCAAAAGACGCGCGTATCCACTGTCAGCCGAAGCACCGAACAAGATATGCCGGCAGTGTACGTCTGCCGCGCCAAACTCGAAGTTTCCTGAGCGATGTCAGTCTTTCTTATTAATCGATCTCAAGTTGATAAAGTCACCTTTCATCTTTTCATCAGCGCATTCTTTACCATTTCCCGCATCTACGAATTCACACATGGCGTTCGGCATATTGAAGCCCCGTACAAATTCGTAAAGAATACTCGGATCAAGGACTGTACCCAACTCTGTATAAGTCTTTGCCAGACCCTTTAGATTGGCGAACACGCGAACAATGATTTTTAGGTGATGCGGTAGACAAGAATCAAGAGATTTCAACTCTGAGCACACTGCCTGCCTCAGAAGGCTTGCTGTTTTCTTGCCTCCTTCTACGCCTTGTTCAATGAGACTATCCAAAAACTGTACAAAGTAAGCAACAATTGCAAATTATATATGAGTGCAAGGTCTACTTACTGGCATGCAATCGCCGTCAATCAATACCAAAGCAAAACAGTGTTTGTCCTTGGCACGTTAGAACTTGCAGGGTGCCCAGCAGATGGGGATGCACTTTACCTTCTCTGTCTGCAACTGATCAATTCGCTCCTTGTGATTGTCTACAGTGTTGAACATAGATCTGACGAGCATTTTTCGTTCCTTGAGGTCCAGTTCAACTTCAGAGAGCTTGTGTGTGAGTTCACTAATGTGAGTAAACAAGTCCTAAGCGCCCGTGATCAGAAACAGCACCAAGTCAAATCGAATACAGTAACTTACTGAAATGAGAGATATTTTCTGGTCATCCTGTGCCTTGTAAACTCTCCATCTATCTTCCAACGATGACAATTGATGCTCAGCTGTGTTCGTCATCTTCGAATTGCGCGATTTACAACTCTGTGACATAAGCTGACGGAGAACCTCAGAAAGCAAGTGAGTGGTTTTAAAATAAAGACAGAAAGTGTCGGGAGGAAATGTCACGTCTTTTCAATTGTGGCAGTCCTTTGCAAACATATGCAGCCTCGCAGACTCCAAATATACAAGGCAACTTAGTTGGTAGCACAGCATGCAGCCTGGCGAATCAACAAGAGGCAACCTGCGGTACATTTCTTGACGCCGGAACAATCCTACCGACAGCACTGCCACATTCTTCGCATTCCTTGATTTTGGGGCTGGCTGCATGTTGGCCGACATACTACTGCCAATGAGTGGTCGCGTAGGGTCGAAGTCTGCCTTATGTTGGTGCGGTCCTGTACTTTTAGGCGACGGACCCGGCCGCGAAAGGCTTTTTGGGAAAATGTGATGGAAGTGTTGCTTTGCATGACAGACCGGCCGCAACTGAAGACCGCCTTCGCTTAATCACACCGCGAAAAGAATGATCGTTTAGGCTGTTTACAAATTCCAAGGTCGTTCAATGTATGACCGACACGTTGGTTTGGTCACTCATTTCGCTGGCAGCCTGTCGGAAAATCCAAAATATGATGCATCAGGCCGCAGACCCGTGCCGGCGCTAACCAGCACTCATGGGCAGTGTCAAATGACTGGTGTAAAATCTTAGCTCGCTAAATGTTTCGCGACTAACCTCTTACTACTAATGTGGCTCAGACGTGTCATTGTGAAGATGGATGCCTTGTACGCTACAGCCAAAAATGAGAATTTCGTGCCGTCGTTCAAAATTCCCTCGCTTGAGGAAACATGAGCAAGGGTATCATTAGAAGGATAGGTAGAGCCATTAAGACAATTTTAGACGATAATATGGCCAAGGTCTCAATCACTAGGCTAGCTTGACTCAGTGGCGGTATACTCAACTCGGCGCCCAAGCTCTGAAGGTCGGAACTACTACTGCATAACTCTTCGGCGATGTCGCAAATGCGACGTAAACCATGATGATTTCCGTGAAAGTTGCAACAGAGAGATGACTGCAGTGTCCCTAAAGCAGTACATGTCTTGAAAGTTCTTTCACGGTATTTCGACGTGCGACAGACCGGCAGCAGACGGATCCGAGTCCGGTAAACGACAGTTTTCGTGGCTTCAAATTCGTCCGACCTCGGGACCAGTGATCTCGGCCTTCTTCCCGTCCGCCGCTAAACCGGCGCCGACACAAGAGGAGTCAAAGCACTCGATGAACCCCCACGCCCCGGGCCGGCTCATTTCCGTTGTTTTTCACATGGGCCAGACCTTTGTACCGGGCGTCAGACCGTCTTAGATAAGGGAATTGCAGCTCCTGTGGAGCACGAAAGGCCGCCCTTGTCCAATATCGTGCCTGATTTCAACCCGAAGTGGAGGGCACAAGACGCAAAAAGTTGCAGGTTTTCCCCGCTGCGGGGACCCTCCGTTAGCACAGGTATCCAAAGACGGGACCCAATGAAACTTTTCTTGCTGGTGTCTTATTCTTTCATCCATGGATGACATCTTCGGAGCCGTCTCAGAGGTGATAACGTAGTGCCCGAGTTCGGATATGCAAGCCCGTGTGGGTATGCGGCCGAGAATTTTTTACCAATTGCTTTCCGCCTTATATACGGAGCTTATCCCGTCAGACACGGAATAAACTAGGACTGGTTGTTCTTCGTTTGGTGGACACATTTTCTTTTGGCAAACCCCGTCACTATCTCCTGTTGGCTACTCCCTCTCGTCAAGTCATTAGTTGAACTTCAGTTGCCAATACAACAAACCCATGCAGCACAGTGGCCTCTATCCTATGTCTGAAGAGAAGTCTTTGTCATTCCAATCATCATGTCTGAACATACATTGTCAGAAGTGCCCACGAGGAATGACGAGTTGCCACCTGACTTATTGGCGCTAAAAACATCCAACGCCGAGAAGGGTGTCAACATCATTGCGCAAACGCCTAGCCGCCCGTACTCTTATCGTGAAGACGAGACAGTGTACGATCGTTTCACGCCTGGCCGGAAGAGGTTGATCACAGCTATCGTGTCTTTTGGTGGTCTCAGCATCAACTTGGCGGCCCTACTGGTTTTGTCAGCCCTACCCGAAGTAGCAACAGCATTCAACACATCTGGAACTGTAATCAATTTCACCAATGCACTCTTCTTACTGATGATGGGCATCGGCGTTCTTTTCTGGGGTCCACTGAGTCAAGTTTATGGTAGAAAATGGGTAAGCACAATCACCTCTGTATATCCTACTACAATGTATCATAGCCACAGTCAAGAGTTTGGACAAACCTATTTGGTTCTACCGGTCTTCAGTTGAACTAAATATTGCAGATCTTCGTCGCGTCGTCAGTGCTGTTTTGCGCCTTCTCATTTGCGACTGGGGTTTCTCCCAACCTCATAGCTTTCTTCATCTTCCGGTCAATTACCGCATTTGCCGGAACTTGCTTCCTCGTGGTTGGCTCAGCTTGTCTCAGCGATGTGTATCGACCGACTGAGCGTGGCACGGCCTTGGGATGGTTTCTTGGTGGTACTCTGATAGGTCCCGCACTCGGACCATTTATTGGAGGTGTTATTGTAACTTTCTCGTCTTGGAAAAGTCTTTTTTGGTTCCAAGGGACCATAGGAGGCGTCGCCATGGTTTTGTCAGCCGTCTTTCTGCCCGAGACCAGTCACGGAAAGTGGTCCGAAGAGTTGGAAGGTTTGACGGTGAAGGAGAAATGTGGCCAAATCTGGGAGTGGGCGAACCCGTTCAGAGTTATCGCTTTGTTCAAGTACCCCAAAATTCTCATTGTGGTAAGTCTCCCTCCCCTTTCAATTGCAACGGCCATCAATAGTTGGTCTTGGGGTCCGAAACCATTGCAGGAGCAGAATTAGCTGCAATCTGTGTCATGGTTCGACTGAATGGTTTGAATACGTGGTAAGATCTCAGCTTTCCGTGCACCTCTTGCTAACTACAGATCCAGGGAGTTGCCGCATCTTCAGTCCTATGGAACATGCAAGTCCTTCTCACACCAGTGCGATATGTTATAAACCCAAGGTTCCAACTCACCTCCCCATTGCAATCCGGGTTTTTCTTCCTTGCCCCTGGTGCAGGTTATCTCGTTGGAACTTTCTTTGGCGGTCGTTACGCCGATAGAACGGTCAAACGATGGATCACCAAGCGTGGAAAGCGTGTGCCCGAGGACCGACTACGAAGCGCATTCATCGCGATGGGTGTAGTGATTCCCGCGAGCACCATCATTTATGGATGGGCGATCGACCAAGCTAAAGGCGGCATCCCCCTCCCCGTCATCTGCATGTTTGTGCAAGGCGTTGCTCAGATGATCTGCTTCCCTTGCCTCAACAGTTACTGCCTGGACGTCTTCCGAGACAGGGCGGCCGAAGTGATGGGTAAGAGACAGTATTATCTAACAACACTAAAACATTCACTAACCGAACTTTCTAGCTGGTAACTACTTCATCCGGTACACATTCGCTGCTATCGGTACGGCAGTGGTTCTCCCGGGGATTGATGGGATAGGTGTGGGTTGGTTCTCAACAGTGAGTGCTCTTTTCGTAGCGGTTTCGAGCGCTGCTGTCTGCTGTATTGTCATCTTCGGCACAGAGCGAACAACAGTGAACGAAAAGTCGGAACGGGTTTGAAGCTACGCTGGATCAATCGCAGTTATCAAGAGAGGTCAAGTCTCCTGGTATATTCAATTATCTAATCTCCTCAACCGGTTATCATTTTGATGTATGATCCATACTTCCAAAATCAAGACTGAAAATGAAAAGAAATATTCAAGATAAGAAAAAAGAAAGCAGGAAAACTGTTTACTGTTGCGTCATAGTTTGCCACATTTGGTGCTGGTCGCCTTGCCTCTTGGATATCTAGCCGTCTTGAAGATTGACATCCTTCTCAGAGTCTTACTCGTTGGATCATGTGTCACTAGTAAGTCCGGTCTCGAGATGTCATTATGTAGTGTAATCAGAACAAGAATCTAATAGAGATTATAGTGACTGCTATAAAGTGTCAGGCGCCCAGAGGGGGGGGGGGGGGGGGGGGGGGGGGGCACCGGCGCGGCACTAGTGGGGCCGTCGGCGGGGTAGCTGGGGGCCGCACCAGCACATAGTCAAGGGATTATAAAGGGATTCTAGCTACGCAGCCAACACAGACTCCAACAACAAAGGTTAGCCACTAAGACCAACGTTAGAGAAAGGCGATAGTATAATATTACTAAATTAGTGTTATAGCCAGGGGAACTGGGCTTGGTTAAGGGGGGGACCTGGGGGCATATAAGGAGCAGCTATAGTAGACCTAGGGGAAAAGGCAAATTAGAATAACAGTCAACACTTACCCCTACTTGTGCCTATTGCTAACCTTATTACTTTATATAACTCTAGCCTTTAATATATTCTAATTTCTTTTTATTTATAAGTATACTAACTACTAAAGTAATAATAATACTTTTTATCTAATTTTAATTAGTTACTTATTTATATAAAAGCATTACCTTTAAGTAACTTACCCTTAATACTAGTAGTATTATACTAAAAAAGTAATAAAAAGTAATTAACTTAGAAGGGTTAAGGGAAAAAGAACTAAGAAATCTTTTAAAAGCTAAAGTAATAGAAGTAAAGAAAAAAAAGTATATTAAGTAAATTATAGCCTTAAGAAATAAGGTACTTTTAAAGACTATTTATAGCTACTAAAAGAGATCTATTACCTTATAGCTAAAGCCTAAGTAATTATATATTAATACGTTAATTAAGTAATTAGCTTTTATTTAATATAAAAGAAATAACTAAAATAACTTTTAAGATTTTTTATTTAAATTAAAAAAGCGTTTTAATATTATAAAAAATAAATTTATAGTTAATAAAAATAAAGTATAGTTTATTAATATATTACTAAAAAATAATTTATTTTATAAGTAAAAAAACTATATATATTTTTATTATAATAAAAAGATTATAAATATAATATAAGTTATAATAAAAATATAGTTATAAAATAGTATAGCTAATAATAATATATAGGCTTTTAATATAATAATAAAGCTAAATAAAATAAAATAAAAGCTAAGCTAATTATATTAAAAGTTTATTAACTAATATAAAATAACTAAAGTAAAATACTTTAATATTATACTAAAGAGGTAATAGGTAATATATATACTTAACTACTTTATATTAAACTTATAAAACTATATTTTAGTAAAAGGCCTTTTAAGTATAAAATAAAAGTTAAATAATACTATAAAAAAGGCTAAGATACTTACTAAGAGTTATATAAAGGATATTTTTAATAGTTATATAAAGGAACTATAAAAACAGAGTGTTACCGGTCAGAGAGATATATGAAGGATGATTGTATTAAGGTCTATCTTGACGTGCACACCGCTACTTATAGTTGGGCACGCACTACCCACGTGATGGCTGGCATCACGTGACGCTGGCAGTGGCCACCCTGCCAAGGGGGTAACAACTGCCCCCCGACGCTTTAACAAGCAATAGTCCCTATTGCTTCACTGGGCTAGTCCGGTAACCTTCTTCTGCAACGGCAGAAGGCATGTCGGTAGGCGTGTCGGTAGGCGTGTTGGTAGGCGTGTTGGTAAGCGTGTTGGTAAGCGTGTCGGTAAGCGCGTCAGATAGATAGGGTTGAATTGAAGGTCGGCAGATAGGGGTGTCGTCTACTGCAGAGAGGTCGATCGCAACGTACGAGTGTAGGGCGTAGGTGTTGTTGCCTTTGTTTACCGAGGTTTGCTTCTCGGCCTGACCGGAAGGTCTGGCGGCCGACTCGAGGGTCAGCCAATTGCCCTCACGTGAAGGTGCAATTATAGCTCTTTTGAGAAGTTGCTATCTTCTTGCCCTTTCTGTAAGGTGGCAGCTCCTTGGCCTTTCGGCCAATACACCTGTCTCCCTACCCGTACAGAGGTTGTGCTACCACTTGTTACCGGTCAGAGAGATGTATAAAGGATGATTGTATTAAGGTCTATCTTGACGTGCACACCGCTACTTATAGTTGGGCACGCACTACCCACGTGATAACTGGCATCACGTGACGCTAGCAGTAGCTACCCTGCCAAGAGGGTAACACAGAGAAACTAATAGACTACTACTACGCTATAAGTAACACCTATTAAAGTAATAACTAATAAGCTAAAGGAATAACACCTTATATTTACGCTTATATTAATAATAAGTACGCTTATACTAGTAGTAAGTATATCTATATTAAAGCCTATAGTTAAAAAAAAAGAGAAAAGTAGTTATTTACTTTATAATAAGGCTAGTATACTAATTACTTATTATAACTATAAAAAACTTAGCTATATCTTTTTAAACTATACTATAGAATAATATTATAAGTATAAGTAATTATAGTATATAAAGAAATAATGTTTATTAGTAGCTATTAAAGTTAATAGTATTTAAATACTTTAAAATAAAAGGCTATATTTTTATTTTAAAGTAGACTTTTATATTTAAGTAAATAATATATAGTAGAAAAATAAAGCGTTAATTAACTTAGGAGCTAATAAGAATGTTTTATACTAGAGGATAATATATAAAGAGGTCTTATAAGTAGTATACTAAGAGGAACTAGTGCTATAAGGGATATAAGGGAAAAAGGCCTTTAACTATAGGATAAGGAGGTTAATAATAAAAGTAAAGGATAACCTTAAGGTAGTAAAGTCTTAGTGTTATATCTTTTAAGTTAGTAATAAGGGCTGTTATAATATAATCCTAGGGATTTCTTAAAGGAGAAAGGTAAAGCTAAACCTAGTATAGTCTATAATAGAATAAATATATTTACTAAGTAAAAGCTATTTATAACTAGTATAAAGGAAAAAGGCTATTTAAAAAGCCTAAAAGGAAATATAAGTTATTTTAATAAATAAGCTAATAATATATTACTTATAGTATAAAAAGATTAGTAGCTTACTAGAGGTCTTATTAGAGATCTACTTAAAAGATAATAATAATAAGCTAAGGGAGTTTGTTTTACTAAAGGAATATAGAGAGTAGGTTTATGTTTTTAACGTTAGCTTTATAGTAAAACTTGTACTAGATAATAAGTAAATATACTTTATTAACTTAGAACTAGGGACTAAGCCTTTATTTAGGCTTATTTATTTATTAGTAATAAAAGAGTTAAAGGAACTAAGGAGATATATTAATAAAGCCTTATAGAAAAAGTAGATTAAACCTTTAAAGAGCTTAGTAGAGGTATTAATCCTTTTTATACTAAAGAAAAGAAAAAAGCTATGCCTTTATATTAATTATTATAGACTAAATAAGATTATAATTAAGAATCATATACTATTACTACTTATTAATAAGATATTAGATTAACTAATAAAGGTAAAGTAGTTTATAAAACTAGACTTAAAGGATATATACTACTAGGTAAAGATTTACGTTAAAGATAAGTAGATAGTCTTTTGTACTTAGTATAGCTACTATAAGTATAAGGTTATACTATTTAAATTAATAAATATACTAATAACCTTTTAAGCTTATATTAATAGTAAGAATAACAGGGGGTTATTCATAAATAGTCACAAGGAAAAGTAGAGAAGAATAAAGGTAGACAGAAAAGGTATATATATATATTAACCGTTAAGGTATCGTTTTTCCTCGTTGTTATTATAAAACTATCTAAGTAAAGGAAATATCTCTTAGTTATATAGAAAGTCCCTTAGATACGTATAGTATCTAAGTGTATATCTAAGCGTATATCTAAGCGCCAAAAGGTACTTATAGTTTCTCGTATATATATATATATACCCGTATATGCCCGTAGATAAGCATAAGCGCCAGCATATATAATACTTAGAAGTATATGCGTTTATATACAGTAGACTGCATTAGTTTACAGTAGTTTACATTAGTATAGTTATATATAGTAATATATACTTTTATAGGTTATTTTTCAAGAAGAATCTAGAAAAAATAACTATATATTTATAGGACTTTTAGTTATAAAGTTATAAAGAGATTTATATATAAGAATTATAAGAATTTTACTTCTTAATTCTTAGTTTAATAATACCTTAGCTAAGCTAATAGATATAATCTATATTATTTACCTAAATAATATCTTAATTTTTACTAAGGACAAGGAAAGCTATTAAAACACTATAAAGATAGTGCTTTACTAGTTAGACGCTATAGGTCTTTATATAAACCTTAATAAGTATACTTTTTATATATAGTCTATTAGCTTCCTTAGGTTTATGATTTTAAGTAAAGGGATTATAATAAAAGAGGACTATATTTAAGCTATCAAGGAGTAGCTACTTCTTATTAGCGTAAAAGAAATATAGGTTTTCCTTAGATTTATAGGATTCTATTAATAGTTTATTAAAAACTATTTAAAAGTATATACTTTACTTATAAATAAGCTAACTATAAAGGTAATAAGGAAGTAGGTAATAACTAAGGATACAATAAAGGCCTTTTATAAGTTACAGGTTATATTTATATAGACCTTTATTCTCTACTACTTTAACCTTATATTACTTATTTATATTAAAATAGATATATTAAATTTTATAATTAGTATAGTCTTTTACTAAAACTATAAGAGGGTATAGTATTTAGTAGTATTCTTATTAAGGAAGTTAAAAGGAGCTAAACTTAAGTATAGAGTATTA